ATGTTTTTCTTCTCCCAGTTCCTCCACAACTCCCTACCCACCCAACTTTATGTTCTTTTTCTCTCTCTCAAAAAAAACAAAACAAAACACACATACACACACACACACACACACACACACACACACACACACAAACAAGCAAAAGACCAGTAAGAGACAAAAATTGCCCCTCCAAGTACAATGAAACAAAGAGTTCACAAAGAGTACCAGTTTGTTTTGTGTTGGTCGCCTACTCCCAGGCATAGGGCCTACCCTGAAGTTTGGATTCTATGCCCAGCAAGACTCCATTGGAGAGTCTTCCCTTTGCCATCTGGTATCAGTTGCAAATAGCTTCTTGTTTAGTGATGGAACCCCCTTTCTCAGAGCTGTGAGACCCTGTTTGGCTGGAACCTTTCCATGCTCTGGGCATTTATACGTGTGTCAGTCCTGTTGTGTCCTAAAGACACTGTTTCCTTGGAGTCATGAAGGCAGGGTTAAGTCATCCATTACCCTGGCTCTTACAGTTTTTCTGCAACTTCTTCCATATCTCGCAGAGCCTTGCAGAGAAGGGTTTGATGAAAATGTCTGGTTTAGGAATGAGTGCTCTAAAGTTTCTCAGTCCCTCTGTGCACATTGTCTAGTTGTAAGTCATCATCGTGTTAATTTCTGTCTACTGCAAGAAGTTTCTCTGATGAGGGTTGAACGAGTCACTGACCTATGGGTAGAGCAGTATGTCATTAGGTGTCACTTTAATCGCCACATTTATTCCTTTAACAGAATAATAGTAGTAGTTTCTAGCCTAGGCCCAGGTTCTTGGCCACCTTATCAGTGTCAGGTGTGGGGTTCTTTTGTTTGTTTGTCTGTTTCATTTGAGGGTGGGTAGTTTTTGTTGATGTTGTTTAGTTTTTTTTGAGACAGGATCCCACTATATAGTCTTAACTTTCCTGGAACTCCCTCTATAGACCAGTCTGGCCTCAAACTCATAGACATCTGCCTGTATCTGCCTCCTAAGTACCCAGCTATACCTTAATTTTTTAAAATAGTAGCAGGTGATAGGAAAAACTCTATGTTATATCGGTAAACCTAATCATAGATCTGATTTTTAGAGCCTTCTCTGCCAAGGCTGTAGATCTGAACTGCATATTTATTAAGTTATGTAGTACTTAAAACCAGACTTCTTTTTGCTTCCAGGGTTAATGATTATTTGCATATAACTTTTATGCTATGAAAGGAAAGTTGAAAAATTAGCTGAGTGTGATAGTGAATGTCTATAGCTCCTAGTACTCAGGAGGAAGTGTGCAGTAGGAGATCAGGGGCTCCGAGTTTTCTCTTGAGTTTGAGGCCAGCCTGGGCCATGGGAGATCCTGTCTCAAAATACTAACAACTGCAAAGTTCAAAAAGCTACCTTAACAGTACTCTTTTTGGGGGGGAACTGGAGATACAGTGTGTATTTAACTTATAGTCCCCAGCACCCTACCCTCATAAAAGCATAATTTGTTCTGGTAGAGGGCAGCGAACATTTCCAAAGATTGGTAATGAGATAAGAACTTAGGGTCATATTTAGTGACTCAAATTCTAAAGAACAGTTCTCTTGGTATATTAATACCTGGGAATTCATAGTGTTAGAAATCAAAATGAACAAATCTCTTGATCAGAATGTGAGTGTATAGATTTGTTTGACTGAAAGATGCCTTTATGAATACAAAAGTGCCTTTCTGCCACACTCTTAAATTACTATTAATTAAGCACTAGGTGACATAATAGATAATTACTGTGCTTTAATACAGATACTGGTGGATGTGCTAGTTTTTCTAAACAGCTATTGTTAGCTAATAGTCTTTGGGGAATCATTTATATAGCCATTGTGGTTTGGAAAAAAAAAAAAAAAGGTCTAAATACCAGTGGGACAGACGTTTTTTTGAAGCACAGATAGCATAAAATGAAATGCACTTTTATTTGAAGTGCACCGTTTTGATTTTGCTTTTTGTTCATATCTCTCAATTATATTCTTAATCTTTGCAGCAGAGGAAAAGAAAGGAAAGCTTGTTATGTGGGGGATATTTGTCAGAGCAATACCGTAGTTTAAAAAGAAATTCTGCAATTGGGAGTATTGGTGAATCTGATCTATTTACTGGGATTTTTAACCGTTCTGTTCATTAGAATTTTAACTGGAGATGTTTTCATATGGCCTCATTGTTTTTATTTTAATTAATATTTCTATGACAGATAATTAGGCAAAGGCTGTTGAATATTAAATATGGTCGTAGCTTAGGGGGAAATAAGCATTTCTGGGTCAAAGCTTTTCACAAAATATTGTGATATGTGAGCTGATTAATTGAATTGAATGCCAAGTGGGTTGCCACCATCCAACCAGACTCTCACAGTTACCCAGTTCATTACCTGAGGGTTGTTTAGCATGGAATGGCGGCTTATGTCCAAGTTAATGGTGTTCTTTTTAGTCTTAGCTACTAATGGAGAAAATTCTTGATTAGAAAATAGTTCCTACCTCATTGGATCCAGCTGAGAGTAAGAATATCTCCATCTGTCTGTCTCATCAAGCATTCTAAGTGCCATGAAAAAGTGTGGAGTTCCTGATATGGTCACCTGGTCCTTTCTGAGCATCAGTGGCTCCTACCTGTGAGGGTTACTGAAGACCTCAGAGCAGGCTACTCCATTGTCCTAGTTCTCAGACGCATTCCAAATTACCATAGGTATTTCAGACATCATGTATGTGGTTGATTTTAATTTCAAATATTTAAAAAATTGTAATAGACGTCATTGCATATACCCAAATCTTTCTTTGTAATTACTGATCTTTAAAAACAGGCTGTTAGGTTAAGTGGTTTGGGGATTTTATAAAGAGAGACTGTGGGACTCATAGGTCTTCTGTAAGTACAGGCTGTGTATTGTCTGATGAGACACACACTGTCTTTTTATGCTAAGCTTAACTTTCACCCAACAAAGCCTGTGAACACCTGTTTAGAGCGCGCGCGCACGCGCGCGCGCACACACACACACACACACACACACACGAAGAGATCAATCCGCAGTCCGTAAGGCTAAGGTTTCTTTATTCAGATAAACACCAGCCAAGCACAAGCCAAAAGGTCAGAGAGCCGGGCTATCCCCATGTCCGCCGTCCCTTGTCCCTTTAGAATCCTCCCTGTGTCACCTTTAGACCTCCCCTGACCACTCCCTTATGGGCGTGTCCCGGCACACCTGTCCGGGCTACTAGGAGGTGGGGCTACAGTGTCTCCCTACACACACACACACACACACACACACACACACACACACAAATCAGAATTACCTTACCATTCTGTAACCAAGTCAAACCTAGAAACAGCTCTGTGACTGATAAAGGACTTTAGGTGTCATCTTATTTGAACGGAACAGGATTTGATTAATAGGTAACAGCCTTACTATTTACATTGATCATTTTTTGAGAGCAGAGGGTAACTAGTTGTGTGTAACTATATTCTGGAATTTTTGTTGTTGTTCAGTTCAGAGCTCTGCTAGTAGGCACTTAGTTATACCTAGACATTTATTAAAGTGTAGATCTTGGACTCAGACTGTCCTAACAAAATACCACATACCGAGTAGTTTGTAAACAAACTGTAAAGCCACTTTATTTCTCACAGTGCTGAAGGGTGGCAAGCTCAAGATCAAGGAACTGCCTGAGTCAGTGTCTGGTGAGGGCTCGATCCTGGTTCAGAGCTTGTCTCACTGTGCTCACATGGTAGATACAGGAACAGACACACGAGACCCCTAAAAGATCACTAACCTCATTCATAAAGGATACACCCACACACACACACACACACACACACACAGACTCCACACCATCCTACTTACCTGTCAAATGTTCCAACTTCTAATTCTAGCATGTGAAGAAGTAGGTTTCAATTTATAAAGATGGAGGTGCTATCAGTCTCCATGCTGTAATAGCACACCATTTCATTGCCTTCATAGTTTACTACTGCTTCATGCAACTAAAAATGCTCTGTTCACAATGTAAAAGGTAAGGGAATTAAATCATGCTCTACAATGAATGATAAAGAGACCAGGCAGACAGACTTTTGTGAAGCTGTTTTGTATTTTACACACGATCTCTGCTGCTTTGGAAATTGTGTTGGGGGCCAGAGTTTGCCTGTTTTGCAGCCCCATATCACATGCCGACTTTTCCAAAAATGCCCAAGTAGGGTGGGGGACACAGAAATTAGAGGAGCAAAATGAACTAAGTGCAATGATCAGCTTGTTTTAAAATGTCACACTGAAACCTCTTATTTTGTACTTTAACTAAAAATATGAAATTATAAATGGAATTAGGAACAAGCATTTTTTTTAAGGCTAGAATTTTAGGCTCCTGATTTTTATTGGAGTTGGGTCAGTCTCTCTTCACCATAGTAAGAAAATCTTGTATCACTTTCCCAACTTTTCTCTCTGTGTGGTATTGATGCAAACTTAAGGCCTCACTAGTACTAGGCAAGCACTTTATTCTCTGTAGCTTTGGAGGCTGTCCTGGAACTCACTCTGTAGACCAGGCTGGCCTTGAACTCACAGAGATCCGCCTGCCTCTGCCTGCCGAGTGCTGGGATTAAAGATGTGCACCACCACCACCCGGTCTCAACTTCTTAAAGATGAGTTTGAAAGAAGAGGTGAATGAATGAATGGCCTTGGGTTTTCTTATCCTTATTCTTGCCCTAAATGGAAACCAATGGCCTGAAAAACACATTAGTTATGCATTGGTTTTCCATAAGCAACTCTACTCTCAGATATAAGTGATCTCTTAATAAATGGAATAATAATGGCATATTGGGAAAATTTGTCAGAAGAAAAATACTTGAATGTTTGAGGCATCGGCGTAAAGAATTTTTCAAAGCTTATCTTTAGTAAAAAGTGCATTTGTTGGTAGAATTTCACTCCAGTCCCCATCAGTCATTGTGTTCTTGCAGTGGACTCTATTCGGTACCTTTCTGTCCTTTCTTTGCTCACATTGTGTTTCTTTTCTCCCTTTGCAGATACGCTCCTCGATGACTTCCTTCTCACATATACCGTGTTCATGACAACGGATGACCTGTGCCAGGCTCTGTTAAGGCAATATCCTTCATTAACTTCAGGATGCTCTGCAGGCTTCCTCCGGGCAGACGTCCTGCATTACGAATTAACTGCCTTTCTTAATTTACTCAACCCGAGGTGAAGTGTGGACGTGTTAAATATTAATGTAATGATATCCAAGGTGAAGATGAAATGAGACAGGATAGACAGGGGTAGCGAGAGGGAAATGCAGGGCTGCTGTCTTCACAGTCTACGCTGTAGGCAAAGTGTACTGTTTAAATCATGTTTACTTTACATCTGCTTCTCCTGGTTGCTTAGGGAGCTGGAAGTAAACTTGCCTTCCAGGTAAACCCAAGTGAACAGGTCAAGTGGATTGACAGTAACAAACAGTATTTTTATAGAGATTCAGCCATTTAGAGTTAGACCCCTTGTGTAACCCCTGCCCGTGAGAGAGAGAGAGAGAGAGAGAGAGAGAGAGAGAGAGAGAGAGAGGTGTGTGTGTGTGTGTGTGTGTGTGTGTGTGTGTGTAGTCCTATTCCTGGGAAAACATCCCTGGACACCTGTGCTGTTCTCCCTTACTCTCATCCCTGAACACCACTGTTACCTTTTTGGAGTGTTTTCACTTACTCCATACTTTCATCAATTACCAGATGGGATGAGAAGGTTAATTAATCCACAGCTAAAAAGGCCTTGTACTTGTGCTCAGTAGCCAGAGAGACACTGCATTAAGGGCCATAAGCCCATATAAACTGAGGAGAATTCTCCACCAGTGCTACTTGCCTCAACTGTGCTTAGAGAAGATGCCTCAAAAGCAATTAAGTATTTAATAAATTAATTTAGTTAGCTAATTTTATTGCTAATAGTAATAAAATTAATTATAGCCCTTAAGCATTTAATAAAAAAAATCTTTATGGCTTCTATTAAATCAAACTAGAGGTTATATTTCAATCTATACAAAATGTTTGGGGAATGCATTAGAAGCCAAAGATTTTATTAGAATCTAATGGTAATGGCCATTTAAGATTCTTTTCCTGTTAGATAATTTGCTATAAGTCTCCCAGCTATACTGCATTTTTCCCACCAAAAAGAATAGTTTAAAAGTCCATAAAGTGAAAATAAAACATCTCTTAAAAAAAAAAATAATACAACTAAGCCCGCTCAACAGAGCAAGTTCCAGGACAGCCAGGGCTACACGGAGAAACTCTGTCTTGAAACAAACAAAAAAAGAACAAAAAAAAGTTGACCAATCCAGACTTGGTGTCGCGTAGCTGTAACCCAGCATTCAGAAGGCTGAGTCAGGGGATCACTGGGTGTCGCCAAGGCAGGCATGGCTCAGAGATAGCTCAGTAGAGCTTGAGAGTGAACACCGTCTCAAACAAAACAGTAGATGTTGCCCAGTGAAAGTCATTCATGTTTGACCTCTGATCTCACCTCCAGGCACACATGTGTAGACCTGCTCACATACACAAACACATGTCCACACACAAAACCAAAAGCACTTACATATTGATGTAGATAGGTATGAACTAGAAATGACATATGCTTATGTATGAACTGTTTTTCAGCTTTACCGAATCCTCTGACTAAGCAAAACTGTAGGTACTTTTGAAAGTTTCTAAGATCTGACTCATAAAACCGATCTTGAAACGTTTGATTTTTGGATCTGAAAAATTTCAACAATATGCAGATTTTTCTCATGATTTTCAAGTGGGGTACTGTTTTTTTTAAATACAAAACAACAATAAGTTTTTAAATATCTCCTTCAGATGTATTTTGAAAAAAAAATCTGTGAGTTCATTTCACCTACATTTTAATGCTTAACTACTCTAAAGCAATCACTGCCCATTAACTATAAGAATTGTGTCCTGTAGCAAATTTTATACTTTCAAATTGTTGTTTTCAGCTATGACCCTAATATTATTTTTATTCCCACTTAATAATTTAATGCCCCTGTGGATGTTTCCAAAGAATGTCTGATGGTCTCCTTGGGTACTAGTGTTTCTCAGTTTTTAACTAGGACATTTTATACGAAATTTTAGTTAATTCTTGCAACCTTTTCATTATTAAAAGTCCACAGAATGGAAATCAGTTTAATCCACAGGTCTCTTTGCACGACTGCTTTTGTTTCTTGCTTTTGTTTTGATCTGTGAAATCACAATTGAAACTGTGACGTCTGCATCGAATAACAGCAATTTTGCTCCTGTCTTCACAAAGATGCCTGTCCTGTTCCAGTACTAAAGAATGTTCCCAGTCATTTTTGTTTGTTTGTTTTCCCATGATTTTTAAGCGCTATTTATAGGTTGCAACCATTTCACAGTGCTTGGATACTTTATATGGATATTTTTATGGTAATAGGATTGAATGGCTTTTTGGATCATAGTAAAGCACATAACAATTAAGGTCATAGCCAGGGCCAGCTAATATTCTGTGCATTACAAAGAACCTGCAGCTCACCCATGCCCTTCCCCCAATACAACATTTATAAATCAGTGTAATTAAGCCTGGGCAAAACACAAAAGAACCTGTTCTCTACTACAGTGAAGCAGAAGAACAGATACAAATTTAACCAGTTAGTATTCTAAAAGAGACATGGAGCATGAGGTTAAGAAAATAGGTATTAATAACTATAAATTGGGAATAATAGTTGAACACTGCCAGTTATGAAGTTGCTTTCTTCTGCTGATGTGTGGCTGCGGGGCTTAAATGTGTGACATGTGGTTGAGAAGCCCAATCTTCACTAAGAGAGGTGGGAATTGTCGGTGTTTCTCAAACGGAACACGAGTTAATAAAAGACCCAGAGACAGACAGATAATTAATTGGGGTTCAAGCTGAAGATGAGGGAAACAAAGCAGCTGGCCACTGGCTCCCAACTCTAGCTCAGGCTGAAAAGACTGATCCACGCACGAGGTCTTCCCCAAGTCTCAAACTGCTGCCTCTCCTCAGTGTGGCTGGAGACCCCGAATGCCTTTACTGACTACTGAAGATACTTTTATATCCCTCTAGTGCTGGGATTAAAGGCGGGTGATCTGTTACTCTTTTAGACCGATTCAATCTTCTATATCCCTGGTGGCCTTGAACTCAAAGAGATTTGTCTATCTCTTAATCCTGAGTCCTAGGATTAAAGGTGTGTGCCACCACCTCTTAGCTTCTGGCTGCTGGAATTAAAGGTGTATACCACCACTGCCTGATCTCTATAGCTTGAGGCTGACTGCGCAGGCACAAATACACGGGACTAGGCTCAAATATAGGTTAAATATAGTTTATTTCGGGGAGAGGTCACTTACACAAGAAGCAGATGGTCGCCACAGGTTCGAACTTTAAGGATCATCACAGGCTGCTCCCTGTGACCCGACCAGATGCAAGAGAGAGCCATGGGCACGGGTGTGGTCAGTGCTACAGATGCTGGCGGAGTGGATAGTTCACTACAGCTGACTTTGCTTTTCAGAATCCTCAGTCAAGCTTTAATAAGTCATAAATATATATTACTACATTCCTCCTTGCTAGCCATCATTGAAAAATAACACATGGGCAAACAGACATACCATAGAGTTAACCTTTATATAGTTGCTTTTCAAGAGAAAAAACTGAAAGAAATTGTCACTTTAACAGGCACTTTTTTGTGTGTGCATGTGTGGTTGATTTTGTTCACAAGTAGACTTTGAAAGTGGCCACAGTGTTTTCTTGCAAGTTAGGAAGAGAGTGGCTGAGTCATGTTTTAACATATTTACAAAGTCTGATGAATAGCTCCTTTCTATTTTTGCAGCTGTTCGTCGGCATTAACAGATTTGCAGTCTTGAACAACCATCTCCCCATGCTTTCTGGGTCTAGCTTTTCCACACAATCATGACAGTCAGGGGCCGGGAATGGTGGTACAGTGTGCACCTGTAATCCCAGCTCTTGGGAGGTGGAGACCACAGGATGAAAAGTGAAAGCCAGCTGTGCTACAGGAGACTTTGCATGGCCATTATGTGTAAATTAGGAAATGATAATTAGAAAATGGTTCAGATATTCTCAAATCTCAATATATTGAAAAGTCACTGTTAGTCATTGTCTTTCTAGGTAGTTAAAATAGTCATATAAGCTTTATTACAATAGTCATGGAAGCAATATTAACCCAAGTAGAAAATGCTGCTGTTTCTTGTTTTTATGCTTATTAATATCTGTGAATATTCATTTCAGTATATGTACCAACCCCATGTTTATGGCCTCAGAGTCATTTATTTAACTGACCTCTTCCCTGTTATGTTTTAGATTTACATTAATGAAGGTGAAAATCAGAAGCCCTTTTTACCGGTGTCCTTGACATTCATCTGGTGCTTTGATCGGGTAGATTCTTAGGATCGGGCATTTGAATCAGACTGTAAATTGTGCTCCAGACAGCTGTGCTCATCTGGAACAACTTTAGAAGCAACTGGTTTTATAAAATATGAATTTCTGAAGATCAAAGATTGCCCGGCTTCCTTCTGATGTGCCTCATTGAAATAGTATTCACCTGTGTAGTGAGGCGGCATCTGCTTTGGAAGCTGCCCTTGAAATCAGTGAGCCACCTCAGTGAGCCACCTCCTTTGAACTGACATTAATCCCATGCTGCCCTGGGACTTTGTCAGCCGCTGCAGTGTGAGGTCCGGCCCCACTGGCCTCCTGCTGGGGGATGCTTCCGTTTGTTTCTGGGTTTGCTTTCATGCCTTTCACAGAACACCTTCTGCCCTTCTGCTCTTGGTCCTATTCTTTCACCTTTATGCAGTTCTAAACTCTTTGGAAAATATGCTTTAGCCTATTTTGTAAAAGAAACTAGACCAAATGGGACTTTTCACAGTTTGTATTTCAACGCAACAGTGTTCTTTCTTAACCATTGGCACCTATTCTGCTAAGAAGTATCAAGGGGAAGAAGAAAACTCAGATGTCCCTTGTCGGAAGCGGAAGGTCTTACACCTGGTTTCACAGTGGATTGCTCTGTACAAAGACTGGCTACATGAAGATGAACATTCAAAAATGTTTCTGAAGGTATTCCAGTGCTTTCGGGTATTTTGATGCCAAGTGATTGATTTTATTTTCAGCTACATGCTTCAAAAAAAAGTCTCATTTTTAGTCATTCAATTTTTGGTATGTCAAATTCAGTGAAGGTATAGATTCATTCTGACTTCCAAGACCAGGCATTCTCTAAGTAAGAACTTATTTTAAAAATTGTAAATATATTCTGAAAAATTAAGTATGAAAATTTTTATATATACTAGTTTATTAAATCATGAGAACTTTTATTGCAAATTAAATAGATAAGGTAAACCAAAATATGCTTTAAGACTTAATGTTAGATTTATGATAATGTTAAAACTAATAACACCTATATAGACAAACAATACTTATATAAACATCTAAAAATCATCTTAATCATGGATATATTGCATCATGATATGAATTCTAAATACATGCTGTATTTAAGGATTATATCTGAGAATATATATATGACAGTAAACTTTGAAATAGTAATAATCTGAAAGGCACTAACCCACATAAACCAATTTGTCTAGATATGAATAGTTTACAATGTGTATTTGCCACAGACAGTCCTCTGGAATAGAGAGTTTGACTTGTTTGACCACTGTATTGAATGTGCAAATCAGCACAAAGAAAGGGCAAGAGTGGGCTTTTAGCAAGACATCTGCTTTAAAACAAATACCTGAACTGATCCTGCCTATCATAAAGGAAATGACATACCTAGCCGTCCCTCTGCTGTAATTCGGGTTATTTTTCAAACCCACAGTTCATTTTAATTAATACGTTTTCCTCCCAGGTAGTCATGCAGGAGTTCTGTTTTGAAATCTTAAACTACTCCTGGAAATCTCTAGTAGCCAACTAAGAGATCTGTTTCCAGAATCCCCAACAGACATCCTTTAAAAGCAGCCTGAGAGCAGTGCCCGGTGGTTGAGTGGCTAAGATGAAACTCCTACCTAGTCCTGAACTCCAACTTACTTCCTGGAACAAGATAACCATTACCTGAACCTTTTTTTTTTTTTTTTCCGGGCGTTGAGACTAGGTTTCTCTGTGGCTTTGGAGGCTGTCCTGGAACTAGCTCTTGTAGACCAGGCTGGTCAGAGAGATACTCCTGCCTCTGCCTCTTGAGTGCTGGGATTAAAGGCGTGAGCCACCACTGCCCGGCTGCCAGAGCCTTTTTATTGGTGGTGGTGCCAGGACCGAACTAGGGCTTTACACATACGAAATGTGAGCTACCATGAGCTATATTGATGGCCCTATCTTCATCTTAACTCTTATAGAATAGACACTAAATCGTTGCCGTTGCCATTTCTTATCTCCATCCTCTCTGCAGACCATATACAGGAATGTACTGGATGACGTCTATGAATACCCAATTCTTGAGAAAGAATTGAAAGAATTTCAGAAGATACTTGGAATGCATCGGCGTCAGTGAGTATTTAGCTTTCCTCATAGCAGATAGTGAATGCAATAGCCAATGTAAGAATTTAGGCTGTCATGTACATAAAGTGAATTTTTTTTTAACATCTTAGCCCTGGATTTATCTAGATTACTTAGCATGTGTAATAGTAAATTGTGTGTTTTTATTTTTTATAAATAAAAATAAAAGAACACTAGTTCATACTCATTGACTTTTTTTTTTTTTAAGTTTTCTATGATAAAAGCAAACTGGACCATGACAACTGAGTACATAAAGACAGTGAATTATTCCTTACTTTTAAGTCACATATTTAGCTTATCATTTGGGGACTCAGGGTCATCTCTTTGGAACAGGGCAGAAAAGAGTTATAAATAGGTCCCAGTGAGTCACGGAGCATTTCATAGGCTCAATGTTACGAGATCCCCAACGTTTCCTTATCTGTTTAGCAAGACTGGAGAAAGCCCATTTCTCAAGTAACTGTTGGCATGCTCAAGTGTCCCATAAGTAGCACTCATAAATCTTTCAGACTGGCAGCACCTGGCTCTGCCGGGTTTTAACTGCTTCCCTATTAATTTTGGTCAATGAAAACACTGAATCGTTATTCAGTTCCAAGGTACAGTCTTTGCCAAGTTTATCCAATTTGTAGTGTGGTTCCTTATTTTTAGTAGCATGAAGCAAGTATGCCATCAAGTTGGAGATGCCTTTAAGACTTTAACAACAGGCTGGAGAGATGGCTCAGAGGTTAAGAGCACTCTTGCTCTTATAAAGGTCCAGAGTTCAATTCCCAGCAATTGCATGGTGGCTCACAACCATCTATAATGAGATCCAGCACCCTCTTCTGGCATGTAGGCAGAATGTATACATAATAAATAAATAAATTTAAAAAAAATACCCTTCAACAGTAGTGTATAAGTTCAAGTCTCTGAGATAACTAGTTAACTAGTTTGAGATTTAAACTAGATAACTAGTTTGAGATTAAAAAATAAAGACTTGCAACAGTGTGTAACTTCAGGTCTCTGAGATAACTAGTTTAAGATGTAAAGCCTGACTTAGCTATAATAAAAGGGCCCCCATTACAAATAAAAAGGGTGTGTGTGTGTGTGTGTGTGTGTGTGTGTGTGTGTGTGTGTTAATCTTAAGGAGCAAATAGATCGTGTGTAAGCCTTGTGCTCAGGAATTGGGTGCAAGGTAGGACAACGTTTTTAGAAATGAATGCTGTAGCTACGGTGATCACAGTCTGTATCATATGAATATGTGAATAGGTTAATGTTGATGTGAAATTATAATTAGCAAATGAAACAAAAAAGGAATGAAAGACAAACTTTATGACTAAATAATCCCTCCTTTGGTTGTGACTCTGTATTGCTACAGTTGGGAAACCTCAGTGCCTGGTTTAGTGCACTCACATACATTAACCCTATCATTGAAGTCTAGGGCATCCCATTAAAATTTTACATTGTAACGGGAAATAGTAAGCTGAAATGAGAAAAATTGCATTAAGATGTGTTTGGGCTGGAGGTGTGGGTCATTTCCCGAAACACGAGCATACAGAGAAGGAGGCGGGATGTAAGACTATGGGATGTCTTTAGACTTTAAAAGGAGATTGGGCCCCAAAGTTGTACTCGTCACATTTTTCAAGATGGACAGAGAATGAGTCACTTCCTGAGCATACAGTGGGTACCTGCCATTGATATCAACACCTGGTGGTGTTGGCAAACCGCCCAGTGCAGCTTTCCTAGGAGTGGAGATAGCCTTCAGAAGCACTTAAAGATGGGGTCAGTGACCCGAGAGGCACTGGTCACACTGCAAAATGTCCCTAATTCTGCTTCACAGAGCCATCCAGAGATGAGGCTAAACTCCCTAGAGACCTAGAAGATGGTTTCACCCCAAGTGTATCCCTGTATGACAAAGTGTTTCTTGTTAATGCATTTTACTATTCAAACATGATGGGAAGGAAAGAATAGTGGGGAGATTGATGAACAGTATGTTTTTATCTTTATTTTATTTTTGAGATGGGGTCTCACTCTGTGGCTCAAGCTGTCCTGAAACTTGCTATGTAGTCCAGGCAGACCACTGTCTTGCCTCTGCTCAGCCTCCTGGGTGTTGGGATTATAGACATGTACGACTATACCAGCATTGTTTTGTCCTGGTTTTGTTTTGTTTTTAATTTTAGTAACATTTATTTATTTGTTTGTTTGTTTGGGTGTGTGGTTATGCCATGGTGTTGTAGTTTGATTCTCTGTTGCTGTGTTATAACACTGACAACAAGAGCGAAACAATTTAGGAGGAGTGTCTCATTATCCATCATCAAGGGAAGAAATCAAGACAGGAACTAAAGTAGAAACCTGGAGGGATGCTGCTGACTGGCTTGTTCCCAGTGGCTTGCTCAGTTTTCTTTCTTCTACAACTCAAGACTACTGGCCCCTGGCTGGCATCACCATAGCGAGTTGGGCCTTCCTATATCAAGCATTGATAATGATGACGATGACGATACCCCACCAAAATGCCCCCAGGCCAGGGTGAGGAAGGCAAATCCTCATTTGCAGCTCCTGGTTCCCAAGTGTCACGCCAACAAAACAAAACAAACAAACAAACAAAAAGAACCCAACCCACAGTATACACCGAGTATACATGGGAGTCAGGGGACAGCATTCAGAGTAGACCTCTCATTCCACTGTATAGATCTTGGGGGTGGATCTCCAATCATCAGGCTTGGCAGTTAGCACCTCAGTGGGTCTGTTTGATCTCCTTTAAACATTGAAAGTCTCTGTGGTGTTCCTGAAAGTGAATCTTCTTCTCACCTTTCTCTTTGCAGCACTGTTGACGAATACTCACCCCAGAGGAAGGTTGGTAAATGCTTTTGTATCTGTAGCACAGAGGGGAGGGGATCTGGCTTAGAGAGCTTGCCTTGCCTGACTTGGCATTTCCTTGTAATTAAAGTGAATACAGCCTCACATCTACCAGGGAAAGACAGGGATACAGCCAGTCTACATTGTTTTTCCTGCCTTGCTGTGCCTCTGGCCCTAATTGTGTAGGACCCTTGACTTTCTGACGATGGGCATATTGTGTGATGCATTTTTAAAGTCTCAGAACATCCCTGCGATGACCAAACTGATACAAGTTTGAATTTTAAACTGCTCATATCCCTCCCTCCAAATCCAAATAAGAATCTTAATTGGAGGGTTTTCCTTACTCTGAGAGTAAGAAAGCCTTCTGAAAAGATTTCACATTTTCAACATGTCAGAAAGATGGTAGCAAGTGTGTGATGTTTCCACTGAACTCGATGAGAGGGGTTGCAGGATAGGACATTGGTCAATGTCTGGCAGAAGATGGGTAACCGTAGTAACCAGTGGCAGGAGTGTGAAATGACCTGGCAGAGTTGTTCTGTGCAAACTGGAAAAGGCGGAAGCTGAGGTTGCTTTAACTGTGTCTCAGAGCTCGTTCTGAGATAAAGTGTCTTCCTGAAGAATTGTGGGTGTTTCTAGGGTGTCCTCTGTACCAAGGGGCGTTTTGCCTGCTACTGGCCTTGGCCAACCTCTCCTTTCTAAGGCTCAGAATCTTCCCCTATCCACATTTGTTAAAGATGAAGCAACTCCATCTTTATTTTTCTAAGATTGGATGGGTGGATTTTATATTTTTTAAAAAAATTGGCTAGCTCTTTTGGGACATGTTGTAAACAGCTGTGACTTTCCAAAGGGTAGGGGTATATTCATTCATTGTTCTCTTTCTCCCTTTCCACAGAATAAAGCCCTTTTCCACCAATTCAGTCTTAAGGAGAACTGGCTACAGCATAGAGGAACTGTGGCTGAGACAGAGGAAAGTGAGTAGGCGTATACAGGCGGGCCACCCTTCTCCTACAAGGACACTTGTTGCCTGCAACTGCCATTTCTACCACCATTCCTCTTTGGCAAGAACGTTAATATCAAATATCATGGCTCTCCTTTCTTGGTTTTTCATGTTTTGTTAGGGTAATGCAGTGTTCTTTCAAAGACTAGGATATTCTTAATTTGAGAAGCAAGGACATGGATGTATGCACAGAACCCTCTAGCATCCTATGGAACACGCGGAAAACTCAGTTTTTTCTTCCCTGGACCTTCCTTCTGGCTCTGGCTACCCATGGCCCATGGTCCAGAAGGGACACCAAAGCCAGTGTGCAGGGACTTAGCAGATTCAGTCCCTGAGATTTAGAAGAGAAAACCTTCAGAGAATAATGAGAAGGCGGGGAGAAATTGGTCTCACGCTAGTCAGTCTGTCACACACCCCAGAGTATACTCCGTCTGTGCTTCTTCCCTGATGGGGCTCATGAAGTAGAGGCATTCACCAAGTACAAGGGGAAAAATGCCCTTGTTAGGAACCTAAAAGTGCTAGTGTGTTTTCTATGAGGAAATGTGGTGGCAGAGGTTCCCTGTTTGGGTAGAGTTGAGTTAATGGCGGATAGAGAGACAGGGAACTGAAATACCTGTGCTATTGTGACCTTGAGTAGCTTTCTACTCATCTAAAATTCAAGTTTAACTATTTGTTTGACTTTTCTAACAGTTCCAAAATAGAATGTCTTAATGACAAGACCAAAAAAAAAAAAAAAATCTATGCTGTGGTATTGTGTCTGATGCCTCTGTCAGAAAGGTTTCTGTTGTATTTCGTTAGCTGTCATCTACCCCAAATGCAATTTACCTTACCTCCTAATTCGTTAATTGCTGACCTTCCCTGTCCATTTCTCTTATAATTTCATTGTGGAGTTTGCTAAGCTGAGCTTCAGAGAGGCTCAGTGTGGCAAAGCCCCCGGGGCCTCTTCTTGTTCATTTGCAAGGATAAATTTGTCCTGTGTGCAGTAGTTTATAGACTGGATCTTTACTCAAAATCTCCATTTTTCTATCGAAAGAGTAAAGGAGGAAACTCCTCTCCCCCCTTAAGTCTGCTGGCAAAATATAAAACAGTAGTTTGTTAAAGAGCTATTGATCTGATGGAACACCCAACCAAAGCAAAGACTGTCAAGTGCCCTGTGCAGGGAGTGTGTTCGTTTGAGGCCCTGTGGCAGCAGCTTACACTCTGGGCTTGCTGCCTTTGCATTTCTGGAAAATCATCCCTGAGTTTAATTTTGTGATACCATTTAAATGGCATATAAATTTTCCCTAAAAGCTGTAGCCCCCTGCTTACTTTTGAGAAACTATAGAGCAGAGTATCCAAGCATACCTGTGTCCTGTTTAGTCTAAAGAAGCCAGCATTTTCATGCTAAAGAAAGCTATTCTAAGAAGTAATGCATCAATGATATTCATTGCTACTAAAACTATCTCTGCTATGCAAATCATGAGGAAACTTTTCTCCCAAACCCATTCATCCTGACAGTGATAATACCCTACTAATCATTAATAACCCCGAAAACGATATAAAAAGATGTTTTCAAAGGATAGAAATATGACCTCCATTTAAAAACTCATCTGCACTTGGCTATGGGTCCGGGTTGGAGGTTTATTCTAAAATGACTAGGAAAGCTATACACACACACACACACACACACACACACACACACACACAAAGGCAAATGACAGACTTTCAGCTAAACTTCTGAGAATTTTAATAGCCAGTGTTTAGTTCTTGACTGGGCCACTGAGATTGTCATGAAATGGAGTGTAAAATAAAAATGTATGCATTAGACATTTTAACATGCTACTTTGGGAGATCCTAACAGCTCCCAAGGAAGGGGTTCAAAAGTACAGTCTGTGTAGCATGGTTTCCAGTGTCTTCTAGACAGTCTGTCACGAGCACATGCTGGTGTGACCCAGGGATCCCTTGCAGTACAGGAAGTCAACTGCTCCTCCATGGTCACTGAAAGCATTTGTGACAGGCTAGCCCCTCAAATCCTCATGTGGGCCCAAATGCATCTAGCTGCACACACTTTACTCTTAAGATGACAGCAATGTAGACACCTTGATTGGAAAAGTCTGTGACCTCAAGGTCACAATTCTCTGGTTAGGAATTGTTCCTTTGACTTCTACAGTTTTTTGCCATGTGTATATAACGGAGCACTCCTACGTCAGTGTGAAGGCAAAAGTTTCCAGTACAGCCCAGGAGATCCTGAAGGTTGTGGCTGAGAAACTGCAGCGTGCTGAAGAGGACCTGGCTCTGGTGGCCATCATGTTCTCTGGAGGTAAATTATTTTCTGTCTAATGGGGATGTCCTTCTGTATACATGTTTCTCTTGTTGACTGATGAATAAAACACTGTGGCCAATAGAGGCAGGGAGATAGGCAGGACTAGGAGATGAGAATTCTGGGAAAGGTAGGCAGGAGCCTGCCAGAGGGAGATGACGTGTAGCTGGCCAAAGGAGTAACAGGTCTGGGCATTCTCTGGTAAGCCAAGACCACATGGAAGTACAAAGATTAATAAAAATGGGTTAATATTTCAGATAGAGCTAGCCAATCAGAAGTCTTAGCCATTGGCCAACAGATTTATAATTAATATAGCGCCTGTGTGTTTATTTGGGGCTCAAGGGTAGTGGGACCTGGATAGGACAAAAAACTTTCATCAGCATCTGTTCTTGAATATTAATCTGTCACTGGATCTCTACTGGGAGGAAGGTGACATTTTGTCCAGTAGACATGCTACCTCTCCTGCCTCTGCCTGCAGCTGGATGACCACAGTAACAATATGAAGTGCCTACCAGGGGTGTTTCCATGACAACAGTGGGGATACTGAATTTCCTCCCTTGAATTGAGTAGGAAGACGTGCTAGTGTTTTGAAATGTATTAAAGAGCTGCTCTTTTTTTTTTTTTTTTGCATTTTTTTAGCGTTAGATAAGCCTTCCGTTTTCATGTTTAAATTAACTTCAGAAACTGTTAAAGGATTTAATTACTGTGCAGGGAGGCGGGGTGGCCTTGAACTAGTCATCTTGCAGACTGAGAATTTAATGTTTTGACTCCTCTATTGGAAGACAGGAAACTGTACAATAAGCCACAGCTCACAAGGTGGTGCACATGGTGAGCTGGGCCTTGAAAGGGCGAATGGCAGGCCAGCCTTGCAATAGCTTCTCCAGCTGGACCTCATTTGTCCTCCAAGGAAGCTTTATTGTCTATCTTGAATAAGATTGCACAGATTACAAGCTGACGTGGTTGATGTGTGCAGCCTGGTGTCACCGGAGCCTGTCAGATCACATTGTCACTGACCTCTTTCTGGGCTTCTAATCTTTATTTAATATCTTATTAACCCTGAGGAAAATCAGAAGAAGGTGACTGTTGAGAGTGCAAGTACCACATTAACCAGCAGGTGTTGGGGGCGAGGAAAGCAGTACAAGGCTATAGATGTTTACAAAGCAGAGTCAGAGATAGGTTGATAAACGGTAGTTTATTGGGGAAAAGCACTCATGCAAGGTAGCCAGTGACCAGGTTTGCACCTGAGCAGGACAGACCCAGAAATGCTTCCTAGTCAGCTCACCTCTGTCCTTCTTAAACCCTTGTAACATAACTGTGACCACACCCAATCGGGCATGGTCAGTGGTACCTGTAACCAGGGTTTCTCCCCACACACGGCATTCCTGTTTACCCTCAGTAACTGTCCTATAGGTAGAGATGGACTCAGAATATATGTAAGGACAAGCATTATGTAACAGAGCCTTCCTCCTGCTACCTTCTTGCTCACAGGCTAGTCAAATAGTCTAGCAAGTCAATCAACTACACACGAAAATAAATAGATACATAGATAGATAGATAGATAGATAGATAGATAGATAGATAAATCAATGAAGCCAAAACCATTCCCTGTAAGCCTAATAGAGTCCTTCCTTTCTTCGTGGAACTCTCATTGTGTAACGTAACAAAACACCATCCTGGGTTGAGGGTGTAGCCCATTGGTTAGAACACAGGTCTTACATGTATGAGGCTCTGGATTGAGTCCTCAGAAAAACCTATAATCATAAATTGTCTATGAGAAATAAAAGCAAAAATTTGCAAAGCATGCAAACCCTATGAACTTTAGTAAGGAAATGGTTTCGGGAGGAGCTTGTCAGTTAGGAAATAAAGGCAAGAGCTAGAGAAATGGCTGAGCAGTTAAGAGCATTTGCTTCTCTTGTGTAGGACCTAAGTTCAGTTCCTAGCTGACAACCATCCAAAACACCAGGTCTAGGGATTCTGACAACCTTCTGACAATTCTTCTGGCCTCCTTGGGCATTTCATGCAGATGAACATTCATACACATAAAGTTAAATAAACAAACAAACAAAAGCTTAAAGTGGAGAAAAGAAACAGAGATATTTCATTAAGACAGGAAAATCCCTCCCAAGGATGAGAATGAGCTGGAGGAACGTGTCCTCAAAGGCTTAGAGTTAATAACATATTTCAGGTTAGGTATATTAAATGCATCATATTTTCTTTTCCTTTTTGTAATTTAAATTAGAAACAAGCTTGTTTTACATGTCAATACCAGTTCCCTCTCCCTCCCCTCCTCTCCTGCCCCCCACCGGCCCCCTATCAAACACGGTGGCCAATAGAGGCAGGGAGATGAGGGGGGTGTCTGGTTCAGTCCTATGCTGGTTTCCCAACTATCAGTCTGGGGACCAAGAGCTTTCCCTTGTTCAGGTCAGCTGTTTCTGTGGGTTTCTGCAGCCTGGTCTTGACTCCTTTGCTCATCCCTCCTCCCGCTCTGCAACTGGATTCTGGGAGCTCAGTTCAGTGCTGCTGTGGGTATCTGCTTCTGCTTCCATCAGCTACTGGATGAAGGCTCTAGGATGGCATATAAGGTAGTCATCAATCTCATTATCAGGGGAGGGCATTTAAGGTAGCCTCTCCACTCTAGCTTAGATTGTTAGTAGGTGTCATCCTTGTAGATCTCTGGACATTTCCCTAATGCCAGATTTCTCTTTAAACCTATTATCCACAGGTTTGGCAATGTGACATCACGTCCCATTCATTGAGTGGGTTTTGTTGGTTGGCTGGTTGGTTGGTCAGTTGGTTGGTCAGTTTTCTAGACTAGGGGTGGTATGGTAGTCTATAAAGAAGTTCTCTGCCTGCATCCTAATGCCCTTTTTAACATAATGTTTAAATTGGGGTGAGGGGAACAGGACTTAATATAGTCATTGCTCTAGCTACAGACTATCTTTCAAATTACATATTAAAACTTCTGCAGAGAGAGAACTGACACCATGACCTGGTTTTCATTTCATTTTTTTTTTACTTGTTTGAGAAAAGTTTAAGGAATTTGCTGATGTTTTGTGGGTTTTTCTAAAAGAGGCACCAACTGTTCTCAAAGCTTCAACAGATTTCTAGATACTTCATGTCCAAGGTGGTGTCATAACAGCCTACTTGTTTTTTATTCAGAAGGCTAAAATTTAGTTTTAATCTTTGATGCTTTGGTAGCCAACTTGAAAGGACTTCAGGCCTGTGTTAACAGCCTACCACTGTAATAATATTGATCATTATAATGCTGACCCATTGGGAATAAATTAGACGATCATTCATGTGCTCTGTATTAACTAGACGTGGTTCAAAACAAAATCTGGCATTTAAGTTGATTAAGTTATCTAGAGAAAAGTGTGTCTGCTACTCACAGCAGTAACTTAAAGTGCCACCCTAGGGGAAACGGACTGTGTGGCTGCAGAACAAATCTACTGTTACTTCATCCTTGGGTGTGCATTTGGTGTGGAGGAGGGCATTCCTCTGTGAAAGCAGGGCGCAGCCTGCAGGGGAGGAAAACCCAGACTCAGACACTATCCAATAAGGAAGTTAAGCAGCCACCTCTGACGAGCATCCAGCCTCGCCAGTAACCAGAAACTAACCGAGAATCAGCCTTTTGATTTGCACATAAAGCAGACCATTCAAAAACTGTAATAGGTGTTGTTAGGTGTACAAGCTTTACATCTAATTTTAGGAATATATATTGATTTATTTCTAAAAATGAGAGTCGGTAAGCAGTTTGGCAGTTGGTATCAAAGGCTTTACAAACATTCCCTTTCACACAGGAATCCCATACGAGGAAGTCTGTTTAGAAACTTGTAGGTAAGCAGAAGGGATCTATGTATAAGGATGTTGACTTCAGCAGTGTACATTACAGCTACTGCAGTAACAGAACAGTTTGTCAAGACGCTGTGATGTGTCAGGCCCGGGCTCGTACTTAACATGCATTAATTTATATGACCAAAAGCAAAGAACCATTAAATGTTCAGCAGTAGAAGAATGACTAAATGATGATATAATGGGCTGCTATATAACCAATTAAACATGACATATAAACAGTAAGTGGTTAAGTGCTCATAATGAAATCAAACTATATAAAACAATATGTAGGACTAATCACTGAGTGTGTGAACAAGTGTGCATGCACTACAGTAACTGCTGATATAGGGACTCACATGGTTATTTTGGAGACAGGGATTATGAGTGAATTTTGTCATCTACCTTAACTGCCCTGTTTAGCTCCAGAGTGCTAAGTGGTGATGTTCCTACCACCACTGGCATTACATTAAAATGTGTGAAAACGAACTCACTCAAAGTCTGTTTATGTATTTTTAAGTATTTTTCTTGGGGCAAGTTTTACAGGCTTAGGTGTGTTTCTAATTACTCTTTTTTTTTTTTTAAATAAAGAAAAGCATGAATTTCAGCCAAATGACTTGGTCATTTCCAAATCCCTGGAGGCTTCAGGTCGGATATTTGTCTACCGGAAAGATCTAGCTGATACTTTGGTAAGGACTTCTGTGCTGGCATTTGAAACACAAGTGTCAGTCTCAACAAGATTTTCATGCTTTATTATGAAAAACATACATTAAGCTGTTTCCTCTCCCGGCCATGGGTCCTCTGCCCTGCAGTTTTCTCTTTGAGTTTATTTCAGTGTCTTGTCCCATCCTAGCAGAAAATCCCTTGAGAAACGGTGGCTTCCCCACCTCAATACCACAGAGTCTGTAAGTCCCCAAACCAGTATCTTCTGACACAACACTGCATCCTACACCCTGTGTGGGGGTAGAGAGGCAATTTATACTTGGCCCCCTCTCAAGGAAATCAACCCTCTGGGGAAATCTGTGAAGGTCTTCAGTAGTTTTTGTTTGTTTGTTTTTTAATAGGGAACCTTTTCCTAAATTTTAAAGTTCTAAAATGGCTTGTTATCCATGTCATTTATTTTTGTATAACAAGCCTTGTCATAGACACATTTTTCCCTCTCTCTCTCTCTCTCTCTCTCTCTCTCTCTCTCTCTCTGGGAACTGACCTCAGGAACATCATAGATGGTAGGCAACAAGCATAAGAACTCAATCACTGAGTTATACCACAGCCAATTCCCATTCTTTGTTTTTGACTCTAACCCCTTTAAGTATTTTAATTAGAGAATATCAGTTATTTTAGGAAAATACCAAATTGTTTATTTAATAACTTCAAAAGTGATGATAGATCTAAGGCTGTGTTGGCAGTTTAGTAGTCTCAGATTTTGAAGGAAGTACTGTTATCAACCTCAGAGTGGTTAGTTAGCCCCCAACTCCATGAGGGGGGAAGAAAAAAAACATTTGTTAACGTAGAATAATTAGCTAGCCTCATGGGCTCTAAGTAAAATTGCTTTAATTTTTATTTCTTGTTAGATTTTTTTTTCCGCTCTCCAAGGGCACTGTAATAAAATTTGTAAGCATGTGTCTGAGACGAGACTAGTCACTGGTATTTCCTGTAAAAGCCATGTCTGCCTTTATTGAAGTGCTCTGTGACATTTCTTTTGTTTGTTTTTATACTAACCCTGCTGGCACATTAATTCTTACCAGAAGCCAAAGTGATTCCAGGGCTTTCACTTTCATTACGCTGTCTGTCAGGGCTGTGTTTTATAATCAGATCTGTGGGTGCGTGGATGTGCCTATGAGCTTGTGCGGGGGGAGGGGGGAGGGGCAGGCTTTCTGGGTGAGGGATCACTGAGCATGTTCCCTTCTGTTCTTTCTACTGTTTCTGGGCCTGTTTTCCTGCAATGGCTGTCACTCACTGAAGCTGATCAGAGCAGGGAAAATATTAAGTGCTCTCAGAAATGATCGCTTTTCTAACCTGGGTTTCTAGAACCTTCCCTGTGGGCAGCCAATCCACTGTGAAGCATTTGGGGAACTACTGAAAATCCTTTTGCTTCTGTCTGTCTGTTCAGAATCCCTTTGCAGACAATGAGGAATCGCAGCAAAGACCTGTGAGGATTTTGGGAATGAACACCTGGGACCTGGCTCTGGAGTTAATGAGTTTTGATTGGAGTCTGTTCAACTCAATCCATGAGGTAAGCAGGGGGTGAAAGGGTGCCATTGATAATGTTGCTTTAACTTTTAACTGAATGATTTGTTGTTGTTTGTTTGTTCCGAGACATTTGTGTGGTGATACAGTTATGCTAGGACAGTGAGGTCTAGAAGCTGTCTGGGGGAGTTAAATATACTGAAAAATCTACCTCATCCCGAGAAAGTCAGAATATGTAACATGCTTTCTTTGCTTCTTGTTCAATCAAGTGCTTGGTGTGAGTGAGTGTGGATATATTGGGTTTATATGCAGACAGCTGGAGGGAAGTATAAGACCTGTGGGGATGTAATGATGTGATTGTATAGATTTTTACCAATATAATGATGCTATAATGAGATTGAAGAGTAATTTTACCTTTGATGTTAAGATGGCCATATATATAAATATATAAGAATATTTTATAAATTTTGCCAGGTGGTGGTGGTTTGCTCCATTAATCCCAGCACTTGGAGATCTATGAGTCTCAAGCCAGCCTGATCTATAGAGCTAGTTCTAGGACAGCCAGGGCTACCAAAGAAACTCTATCTCAAACCATCCCCCCCAAAAAAATATTCATATTTCTTAAATCTTAGAATGTGCTATAAAATTTCAAATGCTATCTTATCAAATTTACATTTTTTCTCCCTTGGGGACAGATTATAATGTTTATAAATTATATGCTAGGAGCAAATTGCTACTGACAGCTTGGTGTTAGCAGGGCTCACTAGAATGAGGAGATTAAAATGCTGTGGGTCTGTCCCCACGTGGTGTGTTCACCTTGCATTCAAAGAAGCTGCTTTTTCTGAAGGAGCCTTTCCTTTTGCAGGGAAACTCATGGCTGAATTTTTTTGGGACCCATAAGCCTTTCATTCTTAAATATCTGTTAAATTTGTTCATATTTTCTCACTGAAACATTTTTAGCATTGTCATGTGGTTTGAGCATGGTGTGAACTCACTCTGACCGGATGGCTTGTGTCTTCAGAAGTGTCAGTCAAGGGAATCTGCCTCCCCTTGTGCAGTGGCGAGTGAGATGACTTCTGAAGACACTGGCACTCAGTTAAACAAAGCTCTCTATTGTTTTGTTCGTGGTGACGCTAAATACTTGGTGGTCTTGGCTTGCATTTGTGAACTTTTGCCCTCTGCCCTTGATTTCCACTTTATTTCCATGTGTGATCTTACAGTGTCTTTAAAACACTGATTGTCATAGAGCACCTGCTAAGACCAGAGTCAACAGTGCCACCCGAAGACTTGTTAGAATTTCGGACTTTCAGAGGCCACGCACAGGCATGGCACTGCCCACCTATAGTCCCTTTTACTTGGAAGGCTAGGGCCACAGGATCAGGAGGCCCCAGGTTCAAGATCAACCTGGGCAATGTCGTGAGGCCTAGTATCAAAGGATGTTTGAGCCCTTCTTCGATTATTAATCAGTAATGGGGGAGGAGGTCCAGTAATCTGAACCTTACCAGTACTCAGGGTGATTCAGAGGACCCCAGAATAATCCGTTATCTGTTGGCTCTGATGTGTGGTGGCAAATGCTGGTGCCATTGATTGCCATAGTCAGTGGTCCTTTCCAAATTCCTGTGATTTAAACTTTAAAATGTTCCAGATTTTGTGCCAGTATGTCTTCCTTACATTCCGGGGGCAGGGCTGGGGTGGGGTGGGGATAGTGGTGGGGATGTGTAAGGATTCTAGGTGAACAAAGTATAGTGAAAACTAACGGTAAGCTGGCTTGAATCTGCTTACAGAGTTACCTGCTGTGTTTCCCTGTTAACACATTAAGGATGTAGGAGTGGCCTCTTGAAACAGCTGATAATGTGATTGAATTTTTGCATCAGCTTGACTTGAGCTGAAAATAAGCCTGTTTCTTTCAGCAAGAGCTGATCTACTTCACGTTCAGCAGACAGGGAAGTGGGGAGCACACCGTGAACCTCAGCCTTCTGCTCCAGAGATGTAACGAGGTCCAGCTCTGGGTGGCCACGGAGATTCTGCTCTGCAGCCAGCTGGGCAAGCGCGTGCAGCTGGTGAAGAAATTCATCAAGATCGCTGCTCAGTAGGTTTCTGGCGGTAAAGGGTGTTATCTCTCTTGAGAAAGTATGGCTGTGCTTTGTTTGTTTCATTTCTTATCATGATGAGAAGGGTTAGGATATAAACTTGTAACACTGGGTTAAGTGACCAAATGATTGAAAAGGTCTAGTTTCTTTTTTCTTTTTTTTTTTTTTGAATATTTATGTCTTTGCATTTGAAATTTTCGTATCTCAAAGTAAATGTCAAAATACCAGACTCTGCGTAGACATTATAACCTGCCAATGAGCACTTGTACAATATGGGTGGTGGTGCTGCCAGTGGGCTAGGAAAATGAAAGACGACTCGACCTGAGTGTGATGGGGGTGGTTATCACAAAATCCAGGGACATTCTAGGATCTCTGTGAGTTCAAGACTAGCCTGGTGTGCATAGAGACCGCTATCTCAGAAAGATATATAAATAAATCAAATAAAGCACTTATCAATTAAATGAAAAGGATCTGGTAGCAACCTCTGGCCTGCACACAACAGAGGATAAGCACAAGAACACACATGCACACTCAGCGAACTTGTACAAATATACATTATAAATAAATGGAGAGTATTTTTGCACATATGTCAGTTTGGGAGACATTGAGGGTAGAGTAAGTGCTATTTGTCTCTGTGTTGTTTGAGACATTTGGATGTAGGCACAGACTCTGAGATTCTATCCCCTCACCGTTATGTGACACAAGAGGATTCATCCTCACATAAGGATGAGGGATTGTCCGATTTGACCTACGCAGCCAGAGACATACTTCTGACAGGTCTTATTTCCCGTGCATTCTTGTCCCGAAGGGAGGCTAGAGAGCAACTTACTCAGGTGGGATGGTGCTCCATCCAAGGGAACTTGTGCTCCATCCAAGGGAACTACTTGAGCCTGGGGGGTCCCCTGCCATGCAAGTATAATTGTAAGTTTAACCCATTTTACTCAACAATTCAATTTTTTACAAGTAGTTATTAAATATACCTGATTTTGAATATTACTTTTCATTAGACAAACTTGAAGTTTACTTCAAACTTGCTTTAACTTGTTTCAGGCTTAACTGAGACAACATGTACAGAAGGCTATAGAATGATGGGTGTGTGTGTGTGTGATTCAGTTTCAAAACAAACCATCTTGGAAGCCTGGTATTACCTCCTCAGTCTAATAAAAGGAAAATACAGTGGTTAGCTGGAGGCTCAGCGGCCTAGTTGTTTTACGGGTACTGCTAAATTGATTTATACAACATGGTCACCTTAGCCACAATGGTAGTGAAGACACATGGCTACCAACATGATGGCAAGCCACGTGGTTGTTATTTACTCCAAGCCAAGCCCATCAGGTGCATACCCTTTTCCTAAATAAGAGTTGAATCCAAGTTACATACATGGTATGCTATAGCAAATTAATTTTAGCTATACATAGACTTTTTAAATCAATAAATTTTACAAATTCTGAAATATATAAAGTTTCAACAAAAAACTTTGCACAAAACCAGGAAAAAAGGGGGGAGATTTGTAACCTCTACAAAAATAGCTTACTTTCTGTTTGTTCTCAAGCACAGCTTATCTGTCTATTTCTGGCTGTTCTACTTTGTTCTCCTCCCCAACTCCCACCCCCACCCCAGACAGGGTTTTTCTGTGTATCCCTGGGTGTCCTGGAACTCACTCTGTGGACCAGGCTGGCCTTGAACCCAGAGATCTGCCTGCCTCTGCTCCCCTAATGCTGGGGTTAAAGGTGTGGGCCACCACCACCTGGCTTGTTCTCCTTCTCCTTATCACAGAGTCAGGTGGCCAGCCTGACACAGCAGAGACTTTGGAGGAAACTTTTAAACAAATACACTTGGTTCTGGGGTAAATGGGCTAAAACCCAACTCCAGAACCCTCCTCTCTATACAGTAGAACAGAATAAACAATATTTCTGTACCCAAATGTCGTTTAAGTATCTGTAAGTCTGAACCTAGTGATTGACGTTTGTATGTGTCTGTAGATGGACACAGACAACCTGAATGTTTTTACCTCTTAGCAACTAAAGATAAAAGCAGGATCTTCTAGGTTTGGGGGTGGGGGGACATAAGCACAAATAAGACAAAAAAAGGTCTGTTCTATTTCAGTTAGGAACAGACACAAGTTTGGAGGCCCAGCAGAAATGGCGAGTGGCTAGCAGGCATTCTGGCTCTTGAGTTCTGTTGTAAGCCCGAGCCTTGAGAAAGATTAAAGTGAACTGTGAGTTTTATGGGAGAGGGGGTCTTGGACCATGCTGCCATCCCTTTCATCTTATGAAGTTCGTTTACATAAATCAGGTTAGATATTGGAATATAAAGTTCCAAATCTGGGCCTGCAGTAGCTATTTGTTCAATGTATATTGAAGTCAGATCTTCATTGAAAGGCAAAGGGGAGTCACCAGTTTCCTGATAGGAGCTTCGTAAGTTAGCCCTCAGAAAATTTGGAACCCGTGACTGGGCCCAGGACCAAGATACAGACAGGGGCCAGTGTCTAGTTGAGTAGAGTGTCTCCTAAGTCTGGAAATGACTGAATATCCCTGGAACATAAGGGATATCCCCAACCTATACAGTTCCAGGGTGAAAGAGCCACAGGACCAGTGGAAAGTTGTTAGAACAAGTGGTCTCCCAGCCCATGGACAGCTCCTCTTCCTTCAACCGAGTGGGCCTTAAGGAAGTTTCAGAAAGCTGAGCTCCAGTGCTCTCCAAAACCTAACCAGGGCACCTCAGAGTTAGGCTCCTGGTTACCTAGTCCCAGTGCTTTTCTGTGTTATATTACATGCTCTGCTCCAGTGCAGCATGATCTCTCACCTAGGATAGACTGTGTTAGGGTGAGACAGTAAGGTGAGAGAGGAAGGGGGAAGACAGAATAAAAAGAAAAGGCTGCCTGAGAGAAACTTGCTGGGGCTTGAGCTGCTGGTAGGCTGTACGTACCATCCTGGGTCTTCAGCATCATTGTTAGGTTGTTTTTAAAAGGCAGAAAGAGAGAAAGACAGGGGAAATGGAGGGAGGGAGGGAGGGAGGGAGAGAGGGAGGGAGGGAGGGAGGGAAGGAAAGAAGGAAGCATGGAAGCAAGGAAGGAGGAAAGGCAGGCTAGCTCTCTCTGACCTTAGGCAGGACCATGTTTATTCATGGTAAGAGAGCATCTTGTCACCCATGTGTGTGGATGACCAAAATGCCTACAGGGGAAGATGGGACACAGTCACTTACAGGGATGGAAATGGGCAGGAATGACTTCTATAATCCTCCAGGGAAGCTGGGATGTTTAGCCAGCAGGAAACTGCCATTAACACTGAGTTGTTTTGGGGAATCCAGGACAAGGAAAGTAGCCCCTGTAGTCAGTGTAGATGCAGCCATGTGGGATTAACTAACTACACCGTACCTGATCTGCCTAAAACCTACAGCTCTGGAACCTGTGGGGAGCTGGATGTATGTGTCGGCCTAGATTGCTCAGAAAGTGCAGAGTGATCGCTTATTGTGTATATGTGGATCTGGATGACGTCTTGTGGGAAATCAGGCTTCAGGCCACAAAGTGCTCCCATAGCTCAGTGTGCTGCTCTGTAGAACAGAGTGGGGAAGGGCCTGATGCGGAGTCGGAGTCTGTCCTGGCTTTAAAGACGGGTAGGCTGCATCTCAGGAGTGTGGGAATGGAGAGCGGAAACACCAGTGAAAGGAGGAGCATTTGTTCTTCTCTTTGCATTCTGGGTAAGAAGAATGGAGGGTACCATTTCCACGGAGGGTACTCTGAAGACGGGCAGCAGGACAGGCAGCCTCTGTGGATATAATGAGCATGGTGTGGGGTTGAGAAGGAAGCTGTAGGAGACTGGCCAGCAAAGGCTGATTCGGTCAATCGAGAAGGCAGAAGGGATCAGTGGGAAGTCTGTGGCCAAGAGACTGATAGGGTAAGAATATGCTTTAGGAAAGCTAGCCCGTAAGTAGAGCGGAAACTGGCCAAGAGACCCCAGAAGCGTGAGACTGGGGGAGCACCTGTCTGAGGTCTGCCGTGATTAGATGGAAGAGCAGTTAACAGGTCTACATCCTGGGCTGACACTTTTGTGCTGAGTAGGTTTTTGTGGGGGTTTTTTGTTGTTGTTTTTTAGTTGTTTGCTTGTTTGCTTGTTTGTTAACTCAGCCAGTGTATTCTAAAATGGGCCCTGGGATTCCTGAAGGTGGCTGTTGTGGATAAAAGGTTTCTTAGAATGTGATGAAGAAAGAGAACAGCCAAGTTCCAAGGTGTAAAGTGGCACCACCCAGCTCCTTCCCGGTTAAGATCTAACCTGGGGGAATGAAATATATCCGTGTCTTCTCCTGATAGCTCCATGCTCCTGAATTATTTATGATGCTGGTCTCTATCCTAGCCCATGGAGCAGAATGCTAACTGAAACACAAAGTTAAATTCCGTATAATCACGCCATAGGAAGAACCAAGGGAAAACAGCAATCTCCACAATCATGAAGTATCTTCCCCTGCCTGAGGCAGCCGATTTGCATATTCATGTTTCCCTCCTTCTCACCGTCCCCATCCCCCACCTCTGTGGATTGAGTGGATTTTCTTTCCTCACACAGACAAAGGGATGGTTGCTGGACTGGAATGCTTAGTGTCAGGCAGCCAGCCTGCTCTTATCTCGGGATGAATGGCCCTTGGTAACAGGATTCCAGGCCTGATTGGCATCTAACTCCTGCTCAGAATCAATTTGTCTCGTTCAGAAATTGTGTCTGTATTAATTTAATTTCCTTAAAAAAATTCAGATGGGGTGTGTGTGTGTGTGTGTGTGTGTGAATTTTATGACTAAAATGAAACCATGTGAACCAGCAGAAATTGTATGTGAGAAAGTAACAGATTAAAAGATGGGAAGCATCTAACAACGATGTATATAGATAAATGATGCAGAGAACCATTTACCTAAAAGCTCTTGTTCTCAGTTCCAGCACTGACTGTGTGCAGGGCTTGCTGTGCATTAAGCCATTGGATAGACACAGGAAGACAAATAAGGAGATGTGTATCCAGCCTTAATGAGCTTCCTCTCTGAGGCTGGCAATTACCTGTAGGGCCTCCCTTGTGTGAGGACTCAAGGGTGGGAAGGATCTTCTGCCAGTGGATTGGAGCATTCTCACTGACAGGAGCTCCAGCAGAGGAGCTTGTTATTTCAAACATTCCATCAAGATGGAGCTAACTCCAGCTTTGATGGAAGTGAGTGGCAGGCAGGAGAGGTGAAGTCAGTGCTCCACCCTAGGCAGAAGAGATTCAAAAGTAGTCACAGACAGGAGGCTCCTTCCTTCAGTGTGTTCATAGAATATACCACATAAGGCCCATTGGGCATGTGGAAGTTGACAAGAGACCAGAGGAAGAATCAGCAAGACTGGGTTCCAACAGCTTCATACCTAGATACAGGAACTGAAGGCTGCATCAGAACTGGACAGACTTGGGGACCAGCCATAGCAGCAGAGGATTGGTTGTGGCAGGGCCTACTGGTCCCCAGATACTTTCTGCTGTAGGTGTGGAGGCAACAGGGTTGCTCTGGCTCCTCTCTTCATGAGGAGAGAACTTTCTTCCCAACTCAGAGTTCAGGTACAGTTGTGCTGGAGCAGAGTCTGGCTCACAAGGCAGATGGGACATGCCAGGACACAGCACACATTCTTATTCATTCTAGCGCCACTAAAACATCACAGCTTTGGAAGACAGCATATGTGGGAACCTTTAGCTGGCAGACATGGTGTGTGGCGGTATGGTACAGCTTCCCTGCACTGTGAGGCTGAGGCCAGTCTGAAGCTTTATAGTAAGTTCCAGTGCAGCCCGGGCTGCGTAAGGAGGCTCTATCGCTCTATCTCAAAACTAACCAAACAAAAAGCGAAAGGAAGGAAGGAAGGAAGGAAGGAAGGAAGGAAGGAAGGAAGGAAGGAAAACACTTTTCACGTTTATAGCTTCTGTACCATCATGTCATAGCTGGAAACCTAATGAAAAAAATCACAAATAACTGAAAAGTTGCATAAAAACGATTCCCTTTGCAGCATTCTGTGTGCCTGGAAAGAACTGAAACTAGCATGGGCTACACTAGGAAAACTAAGTAAAAATTAAATTATGAACATGCTCTTTTTTATGAACTCTCATTGTAGCAAAAGATACCTTCTTGGACTTCTGAATCTACTGTCTTCAACCCCAGTACAGGGAGAACAGAAATGTTCCTTATTAATTTCTTACTTTTATAAATGAGAAATGTGGAGGGCTATCCCATTGTATATGCCATATACTCAGAGGATGGATGGTTGGACAGACGGATGGACAGACAGACAGACAGACAGACAGACAGACAGAGAGAGTGTGGTATCCATTTGTCGTCAGGAAAGAATGTTATGTTTGAATGAATGAGAGAACTTGGACTCATGAGGTGAGAGAGGTGCAGATGTAGGGAAAACACAGGTACTCAAAGCTAAGGAGAGCTGCAGGAGCCTTCGGTCCATGGCAGATACAGAGAAGTGGGCATTTCAAGGCACAGTGGCTGAAATCATAAGTGCACACAAATGAATGTTAGAAGGGAAGAGTCTCCTGCAGTGTTGGGAGGGATTTGGGGAGGCAGGGCAGAAAGGAGCCCAGGAGACATAAATTCTTTCTTGTGCATTAGAAACAGTTGGGACAGCTGTACCTCTCCCTGGACAGTGACAGGTGTGTCATCAGCTGAGCCGTGTCCCAGGAGTCATGGGGCTTTATCAGTGACTGCCCACTGTCTGAAAGAGTGTTTCTCATTCCCCATTCTCCTCTGTCCACAGCTGCAAAGCCCAGCAGAACCTGAACTCTTTCTTTGCTATCGTGATGGGTCTCAATACTGCCTCTGTGAGCCGGCTGTCACAGACCTGGGAGGTGAGCCTGGGGCTTTGCACTGGGGGTTGGGTTGTGGGTGTGGGACAAAACGAAATGCTCCAGGGGGAACTTGTAGTAGAAATAAGTAGATATAAGTGGTTTAAATGAGACAAATTCTGCTTTACTAAAAGTATTTATAGGAGGGCTGTGACTGGGGTGGTGGAGGGTAGGAAAACCATTTCTATCAAATGGTCTCTCAATTGATCTTTAGCATGGGCCTCAAAAGTGTCTGAAAAAGATTTTAGAAAATTTAGGTGTTTTAAGTTTGTCTTCACCCTCCTTTGCATTCCCTAAAGGCAGCTCTAGCTCCATGCTGCCTAGTCATCCTCCAGTCTGGCCTGTGGAGCGAGGTGTGCACAGAGATACTTAACTGGCCTGAGAGTGAGGGGTGTGCACAGAGGCCAAGTTATTAAACTTAAGTGCCCCCGCTTGCAGGCCTTGGACTTGTTCATTCACATTGGCGTGCATAGTTTTTCAAAGTTGCCAAGGTAACTGTGCATTCTAATTTTCTAAATTCTAATTTTCTAAGCTGGTTGGTGGTGGCACACGCCTTTAATCCCAACACTTGGGAGGTAGAGGCAGGTGGATCTCTGTGCGTTCGAGGCCAGCCTGGTCTACAAAGCTACACAGAGACCCTGTCTGAAAAAAACCAAAGAAATAAAAAATAATAGTAAAAAGGGCATTCTATATTTATAGAAAGCTTAAGGCCTCCCAAATTCTAGTACTGCTTCTGTAGATGGTGAAGGCTGCTGGGATTGTGAGATGCAGGAGGTCAGTCTGGTTGACTCATAGCTGCAGAGGATGTATGAGAAGAACCAAACCGGGAGAGCCAGAACTTAGAAGCATCACACCACCTCTCCCGAAGCCCCATCCCTGCCTTCTGTGGGCTTTCATTCCCCTTGCTCTCCATCTCTGGTGACTGGCTCCCTCGCTCTGTGCACCGTTTCTGTCCCTCATCTTCTCTATAGAACTCACGTCAGCCTCCACTGGGCTGTGACCTGTGTGGTCCACAGTGGTCTCCTTGACCTCTCCTGGTCCTGTCACTGACTGTGTTCTCCCTGTGGATTCATTCCTTTTGAGTCAGGAGCTATGCCCAGTGGAATGCACTGTGCTGACCCAGGGGGTGGGAGGTAGTGCTCTCCTTGAAGAGGATCCAACAAAAGAAATAAAAGACATGAAAGGGTTGCCCTCTCTGGTTAAACAAACAAGACGGCCAAGGACGTTAAAGATTAAAGGAGATGGGAGACAACTGCCATGCTGATTAGAGCCACAGGAAGACAAATGGATAGTGAGGGATTTGAACTTTGATTTGCAGGAGTAATTGAATTACATTTGAAAAGCTGATTCAGCATATTGACCCCCTGCTGCGGTCCACGGACTGCACCAGTGCCACAGGGAAAATGAATATCAGAGAATGCTGTGTGATAAAGGACCTGCTAAGCCAGGTCTCACTGGCCCAGGGAGAAGTGAGTGGACACACTCTGTAATCAGAGCAGCTGGACTTTGGAGGCTGAGGAAGAAGTTGTTGGTACTTGAGGCTGGGCATCCCAGCAGAGGTGACCACAGGACCTCAGAGTCAAAGGAAAGTGATCATGTTATCAAATAAAGGGAAGAAGTAGGCTTGAGAAGGGTAAACGGGGGTCAGCAGATTCTTAAGATGAACTGATGAGATGGTCTCTATTGCAGAGACTTAACTCTGCCACTCTACTGCAACAGCCATAGTTAATGAATGAATGATGGCCATGGGAGTGTTCCAGTAAAAGTTTCTTTACAAAACAAATAGTCTCTGGGCCAGGTTTGGCTTGTGGCTGACCTCAGGCTAAACCAGTTTGGTTTTAAGCACACTGAGGAACATTCATCAGGATACCCAACAGACTAAGGTATGGATCAAAGTAAAGACTGGAAAAATTACAAATGTTTGCATTTTGTATTTTATTTACTGGGGAGCAGCCATTTCCAGGTAGATTAAACCACTTACTACAGAGAACCGAGTCAAGAGTATCATACTGAAAAAAAATTAAGTGGTTATAAAGTTTAGCTATTGGAAACTTAACATCATTATTTTGATTCAGTTTGTTAATGAAACCTCTCTGGAATATCTTGATATGAATAATAATAATTATTATTATTATCTTAATATTCCTTGTTAATGTTAATAGCTGGAATCTGTTAAGCAACCATGAACAGTTGTATTTATTTCATGGTTTGTTGTTGACAGCTGAGACCAGAGAGGGTGCAGACTCATACTAAACACACATAGCTGGAAGGGCAGTGGGCAGTGGGCAGAATTCACAGACCCTTGGTTAGGCCATCTTTCTATGATAGGCCACTAAGGCAGTGTGAAAGGCTCTGTGTTTTCTCCTCCTCGTGTAGGCACAGGCACACCTTCCCACTTCTGTCATCTTATATACCTCCTGTTATACTTCAGATTCAGTGATTCCATCCCCTAAGGTACAAGCTGAATCACCTAAGGTTTTCACTGTCTTTGTTATCTGGCTTTTGCTGTACATGTAGTGTTGCCTGTGTGTGTGTGTGTGTGTGTGTGTGTGTGTGTGTGTATGCATATGTGTGTGTGTGTGTGTGTGTGTATATATATACACAGCCAACATTGTCATTTCCCACCTGGTCGAGCTATTATAAGGATTAGCACATTCATCAGAGATGGGATGCCGAAGTCTGTGTTCATTAAGCAACCACTGGTGTGTAGAATGTCTACCCAGCTAGATTCCTCTATACCGTGTGGCTGCCAAGACATTTTTAGCAACATGCCTAACGACGGCCATGTTGAGGGGTGTGATGAAAACTGCAAAATGAGACAAAATCAAGGTAGAGCCCAATGACAGATATTTATGTTCAGAAAGGTGTCGTGAGTAAGAAGAACTCAGTGCCAGTGTCCCTTAGGGCTACTTCTCAGAATCGCTGCCTTCCACAGCCTTTGTGGTTGCTGACTGTAGATTTGTTTTGTTTTGTTCTAAGAAAATTCCTGGGAAGTTTAAGAAACTCTTCTCTGAACTTGAAAGCTTAACGGTAAGTAAAGAGGACTTATTCTTCAAACTGATATTAGTGTGTAGACGGAGTTTCTTTTCCGCCTGGTCCCACAGCTATTTAGCCCCAGATAAACACACTGAGACGTATGTTACTTATAAACCTTTTGGCCCATGGCTCAGGCTTCTTATTGGCTAGCTCTCTCTTAATTATAACCCATTTTTATTAATCTAAGTATTTCCACATGGTCTTATCTTACTGGAGAATGCTCCTGCATGTTACTCTTTCAGTGGCTATGTGGCATCTCCCTGGCAGCTTCTCTCTGCCTTCCTTTCCCCAGAATTCTCCTCCTCTGGTCCCCCCGCCTATACTTCCTGCCTGGCTACTGGCCAATCAGTGTCTTATTCATCAACCAATAAGGGAGCCATATGTACAGAAGGACATCCACCATCATTAGTGCTATTTCCCTGTGGGTTCAGGGTTCAACTTACTGTTCTTCATCCTATAGATGCCTAAACTGACTGCTTGCGTCTAAAACTACAGTCTTGAGTTCAGGGTGGTGATATAACCCTAGTACTTTGGGAGGCTGAGGCAGAAAAATTGCAAGTTTCATACCAGCCTGGACTATGAAATGAGACCCAGTCTTAAAAATAAATGATACATTGACCATGCTAACATGGAAAAGAAAAAAAAATCTCATGGGACCCCAACTCTAGACAAAGAACTACAGGTAACCAGAGAATACTGAGAGTGGAGAAATAATCTCCCCAAGGGAAGGCCCAATCAGTTGGTTGTCCTATACCAGGTGATCAGCCCTAAAGTCATATACATGGAAGGAGCTTTATGCAGCTTGAGGAGGAGGTTGTATTTATATATTTGGGAATATACACACAACATGTTTTATATACACATAAACTATATAACAACAAGGGGGCAGGTTCAAGAGAAGGTTGGGTAAAAGAAAGAGAAGGAGAAAAGTGATAAAATTTCAATTTTTTAAAATTTAAGAATAAATGATAGGTAGATGGTAAGTAGGTAGGTAGATGGATAGATGATAGATAAGCAAATAGACAGTAGATGGAGGTAAGTAATGAAATGTTGTGTCCACTAATGCTGCCTCCTCTCCTTGTGAAATCCATACAATTTTTTTTTCACAAGGCATTTTCCATTTCACAACATGAAAGTAGACTTGGTGAGTGGTTAGTGTGCTACGCATTAATCCTTCCCCTCTGCACTTACTGTTCCTTAGGTTTATATACAAGATCCGTAACTTTTATTTTTCTTTTTTAGAATTTGGGCATTGTTTTTGCATTCTGAGGGCAGCTTCTCTTTGCAGTGGATTTAACAAAAGACTCATGAGATTACCTCATGGTAGAAATTATGCAGAGGAACTGCACTTGACAAACCTATTTGAGGAAAATGATAGGGCAATCACAAGGTGTCTGTCTCTTTTACAGTCACCTCCCATTATTGTAGACCAATAACTTGAATTCCACGCATTGCCTAGATTTCCTACCCCAATTAGTGTGTTTACTCTCCAAGGAAACCTTTATCCACCTCATTCTTAGGAAGAAACCTCTCTGTATCTAATGATGTTCAAATTGTACAGCAGATGTAGATCGAGAATTGCTTCTATAGCACATTGATTCTTTTTCTTCCTCTGTGTGATCTGCTTGGTTGGCAGGATCCTTCCCTAAACCACAAAGCCTACAGGGATGCGTTCAAAAAGATGAAGCCGCCAAAAATCCCGTTCATGCCCCTATTGCTCAAAGGTAATGATTTCCTATCTGTTATGGGATGCAATGTCGTCTTCTAGAAATGTCTCCTTCTAACTACAGCAGAAAAAAAAAATGGGACTCTCAGTTAATGTCTTATAGTAGCCTCAACTTTTATACCTCTATGTGTGTAAGGAATTGTTTTTCAAATACCCAGTTTTGTTTTGTTTTTAGATGTCTAGAGTGTATAATTGTACTTGAATGGTGTCACAGCACTTCATCTCGAAACTTGTGTGTTCATATCACTTTGTCCCTCAGCCCTGCATTATTTTCTTGAATGCCATGTGTAGTTATATTAAGAATAAGGCTAGCACTGTTATAGAGCCCAAAGAGCCAGCAGTTGTCTGTTTCCATCCGAGTTTCAGAGACATCAGTGCACAGTGTACCGGTGTGGGTGAAATCCTGTCATTTGACAGAAGCTACGCAGCACATGAAAACCAGTGGCACAAAGTATTCTTTCTGTCTCCAGGAAGCGGCATCTAGCTGGGGAAGGTGTCTGACAGCTCCGCATTTACCACCGAGCTCTCTTCTGTAGAGCACACGCAGTTCATGTGAAATGTGTCAGTTAGACTTGCTGACATCACGGTGATCTGTCAAACGGGGTGGGGAGGGTTGTCAGTGGGAGGGAAGGCTGCAGAAGCTAGCCTGAACTCCTGACCTTACGTGTACCCCAGGGAAAGGGAACTGGGGGAAATGTTCCTTGGCCACATTTCACTTGTTTCAAGGGGTTTTGTAGACAGACGCCTTCTTCCAACCTCTGCCTCTCAGAGATAATGTCTACAGAATCAGGCTCCATTGACCGGCCTCATAAACGATTCTGGAGAGGAGATGCATTGCTGACTGAGATGGTTGGCCATACTCCCCGGCTCCCCCCACTTCCATCCCAGCTGACAGTTAAGCTGTCATTCTCTCTTCTGCCTGTCTTGGAGGACCTGGTTACATGAAAACCCATCTTTAAAAAGAAAAGAAAAGTATAAAAATGTATATGATGCCTACCGTCGGACACTTTAATTCTTAGGTGCTTTAACTGAATGGCTATTTGAACTATTTTAGGGTAACTAGTTGAATATTTAATGACGAGTCTTCCTCTCACTCCTTTACCTTCTATTTCAAGTTGCTTTCGTTTAGAAAATGGGACGAGGTTGAGCTCAGGGCCTGTGTGAGCTGGAGGGTTAGCCCTCCCATGGTTCCTGTGGTAATAGTAGCTCCTTCAGCTGCTAAAGCCTTTCTTCTCCTCATGCCAGCCTTTGTCCCTTTGTCACCGCCTCAGCTTTCTGTTCACCAGTCCCTTTTGCACTGCAGCTTCCTGAAGCCCACAGTAGCTTGAGACACACATGTGCACGTACTCACACACACTCACTCATGCTCTCACACATCCACACACACTCATACACTCATACTTGCACACACACTCACACTCACACACTTATACCCACACACTCACTCATACTCTCCCACACATACGCACACACTCATATAATACACACACTCATACACTCATACTTGTACACACACTCACACTGACACACTTATACTCATACTCTCCCACACATACTCATACTCATTCATACTCTCTCACACATACACACTCATATTTGCACATGCACTCCTCACACTCTCACAGATACTTACACACTCCTACTCACATACTCACTCATACTCATTCATACTCTGTTACACATACACACACTCATATACACACTCATATTGCACACACACTCACACTCTCACAGATACTCACACACTCACTCATACTCTCACATACTCACATAGATACTCACACTTAAACACACTCACATATTCATAGTCTCTCACACACACTCATACTCTCACACACACACTCATACTCACACACACACACACACACACACACACACTCGCACTCCTGAGTAGAGCGGCTGTCCCACCTGTTACCTTCAGCAAATCCTGAGAGCCTAAGGGGAGAGATGAAGTCAAGTAGGAAGACGTTCGGGAAAGGGTGTGGGAAGTAACTTAAGTTGGCAGGGCACCTGGTGTGGACTCTCAGTGGAAGTGAGAGACGTAAGCTTCTCATAGTCTTGATGGCCATGTCTGAAGGATCCTGCCCTCCCTACCACTGACTCCTGGCTCTGCCACAGTGGCAGAAGCCTGACTTTGCTGTGGCTGTCTCTTGGGTCCTAGTTTCTCTGGATGCTTCTTTCCTACAGTCCCCTTAGAAAGCCTTTGTGAGGACTAAATGAGCCATGTAAAACCTGAAACTGTGCCCGATAATACATTGTTACTGGCCATCACCATCCTTAGGAGCGTTGGTTGGGGACAGGGGGACCAGGCCTGATAATATTGTCCCTGGCCATAGCTGTCCTCAGGAGCATGGGGTGGGGACAGGGGGCCACCAGCAGCTAAAAGGAGCCTGTGATCTGAAGCTCTGTGTGAAAGAGCTCCTAGGCTCTTTCATGGAGGCCCAGTGAGTACAGAATGTATTTCCTGTACACAAAAGGTAAAACCTGACCCTGCGAATTACTCTTTTTGCAATCTTGGGTTGTAGGAGTGAAACCATGAAAGACAGTAAGACATTATGTAATTAATTGTGAATGGTTCTATAAACGGCAGTTCTGTTTTTAGAAATCGGCAAATGATAAAAAGCTCATGTCACCACAGCAAGCCATACTGTATGCAAGGGACAACTCAGGGAGAGTTGTGTCATGGTGTGTGCTGCCTTCTGGTGGCCATGGGAGTGCAAGTTCCCAGTGTTGTAGTCAGTTTCCATAGCACCTGTCTCAACAGCTTGTACTGAATCTGTGTTCCTATTTTTTGGAACTGTTGTTGATGACAGCAGGGGTATTTACATGTCCTTTAACTTGAATAATTTGTACTGCAATCCTTATCTGTGGGGATGCTAAGGTTCCATTGTGCACTGTCTTGTCTAATTTTGTATGCCTGAAATTCTCACAGCCCCAGATGCTAGTGTAATATGAAAACTAGTTCAGGAAGGCCATGCAACCCTCTACACTTTTATACCAGATGCCATACAGGTTTGGTTTCAAGTCACCTTTTCAAACATGTGGCATGGCTCCAAAATGTTTAAGAAAAAAAAATCCTAGACTGCATTGTTGCTGAACAATTTTGTTGCTGAGCAATCTCTTCCTAATAGTATATTTTACCTTTTTTTTTTTTTTACTTGCAGATGTAACATTTATTCATGAAGGAAATAAAACATTCCTGGATAATCTCGTCAATTTTGAAAAGCTGGTATGTAAACTTCATGGCTTCTCCTTTTTCTCTCTCTTTCTGTGTGTGTGTAAAGGAAATGCACCCTGATTTTCCCTGCTTCAGGCTGCAAGCGGTCTCAGTACCCTTCTCTGCCGCACAGAGCGGACCTCAGGGTCTCTGCCACCTATGGCACAGTGTCATCACTAGGCTGGCAAGACCTGGAGAATCTGCCTTTTATTCTGTTAAACAGCGTCTCATCAGCTCAGCACCAGTGACTGGGTGAACATTATGGAGCCAGGCATAAAGGCATGAAGGTGCTGTCAGGAGCTCTTCCCACGGGGTTGCTGCACAAGCATCTCTTGATGCCCAATATAAACCACTTTGAGACAGTGAGCAAGGAAGTCCTCCCAGAGAGATGTGTCTGTCTCCCAGTACCCCAAGCTTAGATATGCACCTGAGATTTGTAAGTTCTACAAGTGAGGGTAAAGGCCTCCTCCTTGTTGTCCTCTGCTGTAAGACCTCCCTACTGATGGGTACAGGGACCTGGTCAAGCCTCTTGTGTGCATTTCTGGAAAATCACAGGGTTATCCTCATTGGGCCCCTTGGCCCTTCTGCCCTTGTGCCAAGAAGCTATCTACAGATCTGAGTGGGTGCCCCATAACATTGCCCCACACAGACAGCCTAGCGACCAGAGGAAGGCATTTTTCTAACAGATGACCTTTAGTGTCAAGTGTCATCGACAAAATGATACATCATGGTCAAAGGTGGTCCCAGCACTCCTCCCTAGGATCCTGACCTTTGAGTGACCTTTTCAGTGAGGACAGTGAACTTGCATGAACTCTTTAGGAACCATCCCAGCTCCCCATGAGACGTGGAGTCAGGCTTCAGAGAAGGTCATTTGAGGCCCCAGACCAGACCCTGTATGAACTGGTTAAAGAGCGTTCAGACTGAAGTCTCCAAATGGTGTCTGGTGTCTGAGCCTGCCTTCTTATCACTCTGTTATAGTGACGAGGCCCCCAGGACACACAAGGGCTGAGGCACACAGGAAGAGTGAAGCTAGCTCCCACCCAACACCCCAAAGCTGAACGGCCAGACTCTCTCAAAGACCAGACATCCCCCCGCCTCGCTCTGTAGTAGCCCTTAGCAACTCTGAAGATGGCGGCTCCATGACTAGTTAGTTGAGATGCAGATATGTTTTGTTTCAAGTCTCCTCTCTCTCTCTCTGTCCTGCATATTTTAGAATCAGAGCTCGGTTGTTTTACATGCTATAGTGAAGCCTTACATGATCAGCAGTGGGAATGTATAGGGATTTTCACTTGTTTTATGTTGTTCTGTGGTTTCCCAGAGGACCCCAGTGCTCCCATTAGCAACCAAAGTCTCAGTCGCTAGAATTGTCAGCCTAAGCAAGTTCATCTCCAATGTTCAGTATTTATAAACGATCGCTGGGATATGAAGCTATCAGTCATAGTCTCCTGTCCCACGTGTCAGTTTCAAATCACCAGAAGAGCCCTGTAGGGCATGTGTGAAGATATCGGATGTAACATGTCACCAGCCTTTGTGGGGATGGAGGAAAGCAAGCCACTGTACTCCTTAGAAACCGTTGCCTCTTACAAACAGACCAGGAGTTGACCTTTCCCTTAAAGCGAAGAATAGTTGGCTACATTCCTTATGTTGTTTCTCCTCAGATAATGTCACAGCAATGACAGAACAGTTCCATACAGGCTCAGATGGAAAGAGCCATGGGGTGCTTCGGGCCACTCTTTCCACCCTCCCCTTCTCATCATTGGCTGTGGTCTTTTTCTTTTCCCTCTGCCTATTCAGTAGAGCCCAACAGTAGGGCCTAATGCAAGGTATAAATACTGACTTCACTATGTCTCTGAGAAAGTTTAAGACAATAACATGGAAGCTGGGCTGAGTCTATAATCCCAGCACTTGGGAAATTGTAAGAAGGTTGTCACAGGTTCAAGACCAGTCTGAGCTACATAGTGAGTTCCAGGCCAGCCCAGGCTACAGTACAAGATACTCACCTCAAACAAGCAAACAAAACACAGAAGGTCCTTGGCCACCAGAGAGCTACTGGCACATCATTCCTTGAATGTGTGTCTGGTGTGTGTGTGTGTGTGTGTGTGTGTGTGTCAGTTCCATGCTCTATCACTTGCCACCCTACTCCCCGTTCCCCATGGTGCTGAGGGATACAGGCACTTGCACAACCACGACAAGCTCTTTATGTGGGTTCTGGAGAGTTGGATTCAAGGCCTCATGTGTACACTGCAAATGTGCTTGCCCAGTGAGGAGCCAATCTCCCAGGCCTTAGTGTATCGTTTCTAAAGAGAGGAAACTACAGTAATGGTGGCCTGGTCCTCAAACCACTTTAGAAGAGCAAGACTTCAAACTCAGCATGCTTTGAGCTGACCCTCCTGTGTGGAAAAAAACAAATGAGATCAGAATTTTCTTTCTTTCTTTCTTTTTTTTTTCAGAAAGACAAAAATCAATTTCATTATCATACTCAAGCCAGTGTTCCGGTCAGGAGCTGGAGCATCTTCTTAGAGACAGTATTCTTAGAGAATGTCTCTTAGCAGAGGACGAGGTTTCACTAAAGCTAAAAACAGGATCATCTTTCACAGTGATGAACCAATGGGACCTAAGTGAATTAGCTCACGAGCAGCCAGTTCCTCACGGTGGATGTTAACTTGAGCCAGTCAGCAGATAACTCTGAGTGTTATCTTTATCTGGCTGACACAGGCCAGCACATTAAATCAGACCACATGCAGATCCAGAGGTAATAAGAAACCCCCCCATTGTTCCCTGGGCTAAGTTCCTGGCTGCCTCAGCAACTCTAAATGTTTCTTCCCCCTCAAACTATGAGGTGTTGAAGGAGTGTAAGAGGATTCTATCCTTTTCTTTTCACCCCCTGATATTACAAGCATTAGCTTTGATTGTTTCTACCTCTCGTTCGGTCAGAAAACCCAGAGATGGGAACTCAGATCCCAGTGCTGTACACAGCACGGAGCCTTAACATCAGCCCCAGCCTTTTCAGGAGCTGCACGAATGGCATGGGGTAGGAATTGCTGTGATGCCACAGACTGAGAAAACAGAAAATCTGCCCTGGGAATTGGGGTAGAATTTGGGGGAGGAAATGTAACAATACATTCACACACACAGACATGAGTCAGGTCTCATTTCCTCTTCAAGTGCCATCTGACTGCCCCACTGAATTCTCCACCATGGAGGAGCATTGAATGAGCCAAACAGTAGCCAGGGTTAATTTAATCATACTGTCAGATTCAAATAGCATTTCTGTCATTCCGTTGGATTTTAAGTGAGAAGGTTTAGCATTAGCATTATTCTCTTAGCAATAATTCACTGTCTGTCATCTATGGACGTTCCTGTGTCTGGCCTGTGCAGGCAGGCTGTGAAGATGGTGCTTGGAGGACCAGATAGTAAATGGTGTTGATCATTGAATAATGGGATATTTGGATTTTGATTTAAAATGAAGTAAGGAGTTCCTGGCATTCTCCTGAGAATAGGACCTACTGGGACAACTGTGTTAGAATATTCTGGAAGCTGTATAAAAGGAACTGTCCATAGTGGAGGTTAGTTCTTCCAAAACACTGTTTGCCACCATTATGGAAAAGTAAACAGAGTGGAGTGGGCTAAAAGATTATTGCAGGGACACGGGTATGGGATGAAGGGATCTTGTCCAAGCCTGGTGGTGTAGGTCTGTAACCCCAGCTACTCAGGAGGCTGAGACAGGAAGATTGGGAGTTCTAGGCCAGCCTGGGCAAATAAGTGAGACACTCTGCACTGTGGTAGCTCAGTGGTAGAACACTTACCTAATATGCGCAAGGCCTAAGCATACTTTCCTCCCCCCAAAAGCTGTATATTTTGGATACTTGTAGCCTGGATATCGGTGAGGAACTAAAGGAAAGAAATTAGAATACTAAAGACAGTAAGGAGTATGTTAGAAACAAAATGACCTTTGTAAAAATGCTGATGTAGACACTCTTCTACATGAGTATTTCACTTCCTACTGTTGTTTGAGCCCTTGAATCCACAAAGATTTCTGCCTTTGCTCAGGACATGCGTGTGAGCCCAGAGATGTGGCTCCATTCATTAGTAGAGTTGCCAGCGAAGCAATCAAGAGTCCCTGGGTTTGATCCCCGGCTCTGTAACTGGGGCAGCGGCACACATGCGAGCCTGAGTCCTGAATACACGAAGTCTTCTGGTGGTGCCTGATTCGGAGGAAGATAAAAGTCCCAGCAGTGACAATAACACAGAGTTGGTGTCTGGTGTGCTCCTCAGAAGGGAGGTCTCAAAAAGACTTCGTGCAGAGAGATGGCAACCCCTCACCTTCGAGGAAGACACTAGCAAATGTGGACAGGAAATTGGGGGCATAAAGATGGCATGTTCTCCTGCGGTTGGGGATACCACCACTATTTGGGAGCCGTTGTTTTTGCTGACAGGAACTGGATATTCTTGAATAATCCAAGCTTGCTATAAGCAAGGAAAATCATATCCCTTTACACCCAAAGGATTAGGCTCCTGTCTCTCCCTGAAGGCACGACTGCTTCAGTAAGTGACCTGTCCTTTGCTGTCTGTCTGTCTTTCAGCACATGATTGCAGACACTGTGCGAACCCTGAGACACTGCAGAACTAACCAGTTTGGTGAGTAGTTCAAGTTGGGGTGGAATGCATACTGACTTCTCAGTGGTAATGACTGGCACTTAAGAAATAGTTACTGACCCTATTTAAAGGGATGGTGACTTGTACGTATCACTGTGCATGCTTTATTTATACTCTAGACATTTATTGTGTCCCCTCACTGAGTGTTGGGGACGGAGAGTAAGACAAGATGTGGCACATCGTTGCCCCCTTGTGCAAGCATGTTTGCACTGTCCGGATTGCCTTCAGATGGACAGAAGTTCACCCACCCAACCCCCTTTCTGCGTTTGCTTGCCTAGCCCCTCAGATTCACTGATGAGTTTAGCAGTATGACCCTGCCTCTAGTCTCCTTTCAAGGGGACCTTCCTAAAATAGATGTGTAGTTTATTAGGGTGCCTGAAGTGGCCTTCCACTGTTTTTCTTCTCTTCAACCCAAACTTCCTATCAGCTGAAAAAAAATTTTTTTTTTCCTGAGCACTTTTGTAGACTCCCTCTGAGACTACATATGCAGGGATATTTTTTTCCATTTTGAATCTCATGCATATCTAGCCTGTGTTTAAATAGTGTTAGCATTTTTCAGGAATGGAGGAAATTGCCTTTACTAAGTAGCAGGAGCTTCAGAATCCTGCCCGTCCTAGTGAACAGGCATCCTTAACCCTATAGGGGAGGGAGGGAGGGAGGGAGAGACAGAGAGCTGGGTGATGGTGGTACTCTCCTTTAATCCCAGAACTTGGGACTCAGGGGCAGGCAGATCTCTGTGAGTTCGAGACCAGCCTGGTCTACAAAGTGAGTTCCAGGACAGCCAGGGCAGTTAAACAGAGAAACTCTGAGGGGAGAGAGAGAGAGAGAGGGAGGAAGAGAGAGAGAGAGAGAGAGAGGGAGAGATGCTTTTGGAAGTTAAGAATGCTTGCTACTCCTGCAGAGGACCATGGTTTGGTTCCAGCACCCACATGTAACTCACAACCATCTGTAACCCCACGTCAAGGGGATCTGACACCTCTACTGATGTCTGAGGACTCCTGCACGCAGATGGTACACATACATACACTCAAGCATGCAACAAAATAAATACAGTTCAATGATTATAAATCAAGGATGAACAACCTGGTGGAAGTAGACCTTAAGTAATACATCTTCATTGCAATTTGTTTCAGAAATACTGCATTTTATACTGCACATATAGAGAACCAGAGCCCCCACCCCCACTCCCACCACCAAAAGCTATTTGCTATGCATGCTTCAGATGCTTTTTCTAGAGTGTGTTGCTCGTGGCTCTCGATAGTATCCCCCAGCAAATCCAACTAGGAACTGAAACTCCTCCTGTATGTGTCACAAAGTGGGAAATCAAAGGAGAATCATGAAATACAGGACCTAATTCTCTAAATATTCACTTCAGTTAATACCACTTGGTAGGCACTTTACATGTAAGTTTTCATCAAGCCCACAAGCCCAATGCAGTTATAATAGAAAGAGTGACACTGTTGCCCCAAAGGGCCCTTCAGACGCCCAGCATGGTGTTACCCATGAGTGCATTCATATGTCTTCCATTCGCCTTTGCTTCTAAAGTGATCACCAAATATTCAGCTAATTCTAAAACTGGTTTACATGTGTTCTCAGTATGCACAAAGGGTCATGCCAGCTTGGTGTGAACCCCCTGCTCACCAGAGGACTTTGCATATCCCAAATTAAAGGAGAAACTTAGCTGTTGGATGTGTGTTCTTAAAATTAGGCTGTGACTGAATCACCTGACCTCCTTTTAACAATTTCTTTCTATGGGGCCTCACTAGCTAGTGTCAGTATGTGGGACAAAGCAAGAAAACATCACTCTAAACAGTTATAAACTACCGGAGCGTCACTCAAGTGTTGGCGTCACTGTTAGGACAGTTCACCATGACGTCTTTTTGAATGGTTATTATTGACAAACTTTATCTGTACAGCCAGCCAGCCAGCCAACCAACGCATACCTCTAACTAAAAGTGATTTCCCAATGTCTCCCAGAAAGACATTCTAGAATTATAGCTTACTGGTCACAGTGACGATGCTGAACTTCCAGTGTTTATATGCTGAGGCCAGGAAGCTCAAGCGTTAGAAGCTGCCTGGGATGGCTCTTACATTATCTTCTTACTAAATGTATTCTTCATAGAAAAGGGAGACACTGTTTTCCCAGAAGTGCAGCTGTAATTGTTCCTTTTCTGGGCCTGCTTCCTCGGAGACTCACCGTGGCCCTGACGGTTGGTTCTCCTCTTCTCTATGTGGGTTTTGTTGTTGTTGTTTCTTTTTTCCTGTGGTATTGGGCTTGCCCCATTGACCAGGCATTTCATCTCAGGATTGTGGTGCGCATTGTCCCCGAGTGCGTGCTCATAGTCACAGCTCACTGAGGTCTCTCATGTGGGCCTTGTTATTCTTTCACCTCTTTGGATTGCCTTATCCCCCTGGGTACACTTTCACGCCTGTGTATATTTTGTGAACCCACTTTTTGCTGTACCCACTCCTGAGGTTTTTTTTTTATTGTTTTTTTTTTTTTGTGTGTGTGTGTGTTTTTGGTTTTGGTTTTTCGAGACAGTGTTTCTCTGTATTGCTCTGGAGGCTGTCCTGGAACTAGCTCTTGTAGACCAGGCTGGTCTTGAACTCACAGAGATCTGCCTGCCTCTGCCTCTGCCTCTGCCTCCGGAGTGCTGGGATTAAAGGCGTGTGCCACCACTGCCCGGCACTGAGGTTTTATTCTGTGGTATCTATTCTACTTTGTTTTTTTTTCCTCTCCCAAAAATAAGGACAACAAAGAAGTGTACAGAAAGCTAAAATAGAAAGAAGAAGGCATGAATAAATAATTTAGTAAGCTTCTGTGTGCAGACTCTGAGTCCTGACCACAGACTGATGCTTGAGAACCTGTACCACTTTCAGGAGGCAGAGGCAGAGGCAGGCAGATCTCTGTGAGTTCAAGGTCAGCCTGGTCTGCAGAGCGAGTGCCAGTACCAAACAGAGAAACCCTGTCAAGGGTGACAGTGTGCCGTCTAAATAGTGTGTTAGGTGTGGATGCCTTGCCAGTCAGCCTTCCTAACTGAAGTTGTTCGTCTCTTGCAACAAGGACGATGCTTCTAGCACTAACCTACTCTAAACCCTTGTGTGGGCTTTACTGCATTTAAAAGTAACAACGCCACACTGTTCCCATGACATTGATGGTTCATTTTCCCCTCTAAAAACTAGGAAGTGACATGTCTCCCAAGGAGCAGCAAGAGCTGAAGTCCTATGTCAACCACCTGTACGTCATCGACAGCCAGCAGGCCCTGTTTGAGCTCTCTCACAGGCTGGAGCCCCGGGCCTGAGCTGTGCCAATCTGCCCTGCACCCTCAGCAGCACTTAGAGCGAAAGGAAGGTGTCCGTTCAGCATGTCGCTTCCTGTGAGGAAAAGAGGTTGCTGAGTTTTATCAGCATGAGACAAGTACGGGAAAGCCAGCCCAAAGCAAGTTCGGGAAGTGATGTCAGCCACCAGAGGCGGGGCAGGGCCCCTCCCCTGCCCACCCCTGCTGTCAGTGAGAAGATGGGGGGAGCCAGAACATCCTTGGAACAGGGTCTTTCTTGTGACGGTGATTTCAGTCCAGTATAAGTCTCAGCTTATGGTGTGGCCGCATTAAGAGAAAACATGCCTGGATATACAGCAGCCAGTTTTTTGTTTTGTTTTGTTTCTTTTCAGTAAGACTGTTATGTATAGTAGGAAGGACGGCCACTCTGCCTGCATCACCTTGCTGCCTATGGGCCATAAAGAGACTGAGAATACCTGAAGACAGCGAGAGCATCTCCAGATGGCCCAGGAGGGGAGAGAGGCCTCTGCAGCTAGAAACTGGATATCACCCTGGCAGGCCATGTCCTGCTGTGCAAATAAGAAATGCCTCCCACACACTCCTTTGCATCCACAATCACTTCTCAATGTAGGCACAGATGAAACTAGTTTCTATACCACTGATGTACTCCTGTAGGCGAGGCAGACTGAGTTTCTCATCCAATAAGAAACATGGCAGCATTGTTCAATTTCTGGGAACTGACTTTACATATATTTTTGATATTGTTGTTGTTGAGAGCAACATGATTTTCAGAAAACCACGAGGCCAAGGTTGTGGGTGCTTGGTGTCCACTTACTGGGAGTCACAGAATTGTGCCTCATGCAGACTTGGTGTTTGGCGTAACTCCACCAGGTTCCCTGCTCACAGGATGCAGAGTGTCTGTCCTCCAGTGGGGGAGGGCGAGTGAAGCTGAGATATATGATGTATTTGACCTGTCTATTTCCAGTCATGAGTATGGGTATGTTCCTCACCCCTGAGGGGCGGGCTGGCTGGCTAGTAAGTGTCTACGCAGACTGGCTTTCAGCTCTCTTCAGCACTTCATGCAATCTCATGACTGAGGTCTACGGTTTGCCACCTTGCCTCCCGACTCCTTGACAGCCACGCTGTTTCCAGGTCTTGGGACTGCAGTGGGCCTGAGAGACTGCTAGAAGGAACCAGATGGGGAAAAAAAAATTTGGTAGAGCTTTCAAAGAGATTGTATCTGATCCAGTGTGTAAATTTTCAGTCCTGGAAACTTAACAGGATGCTATAGAAACACTCCAACTAGTACTGGCTCACTGAGAAAATGTTTCACGGGGCTGAGAGCCAGTGGATGAGACCGGAGCCACAGAACCAGGGGAAGCAGGCTTTCTTGATTGTAACCATGCACAAGCCCTTGGCAATTTCTGAGAACAACACAGACTCACAGCACAAACACTTGTGTCTTTCCTCCAAGCTAACGACCAGGATTGGGCTAGTTGAAATCATACCAGGCTGTTTGATATTGTCCTATGTTCTAACTTAATGTATTGGCATTAGCTCTGCATTGCTCTAAGTGGGACCTTTACCTTTAGAACTCACTGTAAGTAGAGATCTGTTTTAGTGGTATACCTGTCTTGTCTAGGCCCCAGCTCAGCTGGGTTGTGCAAGCCGTGCCTGCCTCGTACTGGGCACACTTAGAAAATCCTGTAGGAGATGAATGGGAACAGCCCAGGAGAGCATGGGTGAGGCTGCTTTTCCCCAAGTGAAAGTCAGATGCTATTTGTTCTCCCCTTCTGTCTCCTGAATATCTAAAAATCTCTAAATCTTCTTCAGCCTTAATGCCTGTTTCTAGGGATTTCTCAGGCAGATTTGGGGACTTCAGGAGCTTTGCAGAATCTTAAATCCAAATGAATGAATGAATGTTCCAAAATTGTCAGACCCTGTGTGTCCCACGAGGAGCTCTTCCTAAGGCAGCCGAGCGCTGTATAGGTGTGCAGAGCACTGTATAGGTGTGCAGAGCACCCCCATGCACGGGATGACACAGTTCCTTCTCTGGATCCTCCTCGGGGCCTCCCCAGAATCAAGTATTGCTTGCTCTCCCTGAAGGTGGACTAGGAGATGTCCAGGGTTTCTTCCAATTCTCCCGTGCATTTTCATGATTACATAGATCTCCATTCCCTCACTAAACCCTGTATAATTGGGATCTTCCCCAGAGAGTGATGTCTAGACCTGTTTTTAAGAGCACAGCCCTCTAGGGTGCACCTGTGGTCTTTGGCTTCTGTTCCCGCAAAGCAGCCTCACTCGCTAGCTAGCACAGGAGGTGTCACACGAGTTCATCTAGGGAAAGTCACCAGCTTTCCAAGTATTTTAAGGAATTTACACACACACACACACACACACACACACACACACACACACTTGCAGATGCTCCATAGCCCACAGGTTTGAAACCCACTTACAGTCTACATAATTGCCAAATGGTTATAGTAGCACATAGCCCACATTCACTTTTTTATAGTATCCTTACTTGCATTGAGAATAAATTCCTTTTCCGACTCCAGTGTCTACAAGCAAGTAGCGTGGCTTGAAGTTAGAGGCATGAGAATAAAATCCCACACATAGTTTGCAGGCAGGTATTTCGTAGGTGCACACACTCACCTGAGTGAAGGATAGGTGGTATAGACGAGTGGTTGCTTGGTAGACTTCTGGGCCTGGAGCTGAACCTTGACGCTGCGTAAGTCCCAGCCCTGTGGTTTTTCCACAGACAGCACATGCACCGTAATCCTGAACTAAATGGCCCACCCACCCAAGCTTTTCAGAATTGGGCAAAATCAATGCTGTTTGGAAGACAAAAGCCAGGGCAGCTGTCCAACATAGGATTTCTTCTCAACTTCAAACACATGTCCTGAAATTTCAGCCTGCTCATGCCTGAGTGGGCCAGTTTTGCTCTAGAGAAAACACATTTTGAAAAAAAAAAATTGCCAAAAAGTCAGATGAAATGTACTACTGTATAAAGCAAAGCTGTATATATACTAAGCATTTTTAGCAGAGTAATATTTATTTGCATAGCCTATTTATTGTATTCGTATTACACTGTTATTAAATACCAGGCTGAAATCAATGACCAGAAGCAAGGACTCTCTCCTTTGGATGTCTCATTGCTTAGGACTGCCGTGACATTGTCAGCTTGCGATAACAATTAGAAGATAGAAAGCCCACAATCTGGGCATCTACCTAACTTCTCAGGGACTACACCTTGTAGTTTTCCACCATTCTAAGAGCTGGTAAATATGAAACATTTGTTGAATTACCAGACTGCCATTGATAGTGTTTGCTTTCTCATAGTTCATGCTTTCTGCCTCTGTGTATATGACTGTGCTGTGTATTTATCAAAGTAGGAAGCAATAATTTATATGTAAAAAAAATGGCTAAGCAATATAAGGTTATAACTTACTTAAGTAACCATTACCTTATCTTGTATTTTCAAGTGTTTTTTTAACCTGCTTTTCCAAATATAAGACTATGTTAAACATAAACGACTCATGCCTAGACTCTTCTTTCTTGTGTCATGGGCCTGTGGCCTGGGAACCAGCACCATTTGGCACTTGGTCTAGAACTCAGGTTTCCTCACTGAAAGAGCCATGAGTGAGCAAAGAACTACAGGAACTCAGTCACCTACCCTGCTGCTGCATCTGAACACTGAAGAGACTCAACACCACCTGCTGGAAATCACACAGGGGCTTAATCTGAGCCTTGAAGAATCCTGCAGACCCTGCCATCAACCCACTCTACTTGAGTAGAACTGGGAATAAAGAGAGGACCAGGCCTAGTGAATCCCTGTGCCAGGATGGAGGAGCTGAGTGGGTGGAGCTGTGGAGGGTTCTGATGATGTTCATTGGGATGGCTGTCTGCCAGCACTGTAAACTCACTCTGTCAGTGGTTCAGGCCTTCTGCATTGTTGCCTGCTACACTCAATGTCCCACTTGTCAAATTCAAAATGGCCTGTGGCGTGTGGCATCTGCTCCCTATGGGAGTATTATACACCTCACCATGTTGAACTCTGGAATGGCCAGGTGTCTTGTTCTGGAGTGAAGGTGTAGTTTTCGAGACTGTTCCACCAGGTGCTCTGCACTGCCATGGGTAAATATGTCCACTCTGGGTCTTGGCAAAAATAGAACCGAGCTCCAGCTCAGGAACACCTTGAGGAAAGTAGACAGCACTGCCATTAGAGACCACTGAGACTTAGCAGTTGCTTGTTCCTTGGCAGAATTTATCCTGACTAATTCAGTCTCTCCCAAGATTCTTCTCAGTGGACTTCACTTTGCCTTAGGCCAGCGTTTCTCAACCTTCTGGATGCTGCAACCCTTTAATAAATTCTTCATGTTGTGACCACCGCCCCCAATCCTAAAACTATTTTCAATGGTACTTCATGACTGTAATTTTGCTACTATTAGGAATTGTTATGTAAAAATCTTTTCTGATAGTCTAAGGTGACCCCTGTGAAAGGGTTGTTCCACCCCCAAAATGGTCATGACCCACACACAGGTTGAGAACCTACCTCTACCTTAGACCATTGGGAAGTCCTATTAGCTTTGCAGTATGTGATGGATGGTACACTGTATCTATGCAATGTACTTGTCTTTACATGGGAAAAGGTAAAGTGATCTGAAAACCATTTCCTTAGTTAATTGAAAGTCACTAGGAATTAGCTCATCTGTACAAGGAGAAATGAGAGGACTGGACAAGGGACAGTGTTCTATGACACAGCAGTTGGGAGCAGAGACAGGTTGTACCTGTCTTAGCCCTGGTACCAATGTCACCTCATCCTTGGGGACTTCCACACAGGCTCCTTCCAGAATCAGCTGTGTGGGAGATAAGAGTGGAAAGCCCTGAGCTCCAGATTTGAGAGAAAGAGGAAGAGAGAGCAGTGCCAGTTGGAAAGGGTCCTACCTGATTTCCTCTGGTTCCAGTGAGAAGGGGTGGGGGGACTAGAGGAACTAGACTCACAGGAGAGAGAAATCTGT